AAGACCACTTGTCCTTCTGCATGCGTGCACAGCCTTTCACATGCTAATCATGCCTTTGTTCCTAAGACCCAGTGATGCACAGATGTTTAGAGGAAACATTTCTAAAAGATGTCTATCAGAGATTTCAACTAGAGAGTAGAAAGAGACATGATATTACAAGGCAAATCTAGGCCCAAGGCAGTATTCTAAGAAGTGATTTAACCTATTCCATTATTTCTTTTGCCCAGAACAAATTATCTTTTCTCTTTCCCAGTGTCATCTGGAAATACTCTCTTGTCCTGAGCAGACACAGAAGGTGATTTCAGACACAGGGAGCCAAGAAGAGACACAGCAGCAGCAGCTGACCCTGTGGTGTCTCTAGGGGAACTGCTACTCCTGGAGCCAGACACCGTGCACCAACTGATTAGGAAAATGTTTGGTTTAATTGAACACCAGTATTCATGGGAGACACAGAGATATTCCTAGGACTGAACTGTTCCTTGGGAGACAGGCAGCGGGGACAAGCAGCCACTACGTTCCTGATGAGGAGCACCCTCTCCATGCTGATGACTGCAATGTGTCTTACCTAAGCACACGCAGATGACATGAGAATGCCAACTCCTGCAGCTGAGGCGCTGGGACAGTGGGGGTGCTGGACAGTGGGGGTGCTGGAAGTGGGGATGCTGGGCAGTGGGGGTGCTGGGAGTGGGGGTGCTGGACAGTGGGGGTGCTGGGAGTGGGGGTGCTGGGAGTAGGGATGCTGGGAGTGGGGATGCTAGGACAGTGGGGGTGCTGGGACAGTGGGCGTCCTGGGAGTGGGGGTGCTGGGCAGTGGGGGTGCTGGGTGGGGGTGCTGGGTGGGGGTGCTGGGTGGGGGTGCTGGACAGTGGGGGTGCTGGACAGTGGGGGTGCTGGACAGTGGGGGTGCTGGGAGTGGCGGTGCTGGACAGTGGGGGTGCTGGACAGTGGGCGTGCTGGGAGTGGGGGTGCTGGACAGTGGGGGTGCTGGGACAGTGGGGTGTGGGACAGCAGAGGTGCTGGGACAGTGTGGGTGCTGGACAGTGTGGGTGCTGGACAATGGGGGTGCTGGGACAGTGGAGATGTGGGACAGTGTGGGCTGTTGGAGATACTGGAGAGAACTATTCACGGGAGGGGCCAGGCGGCCAAGCCACCACCAATTAGTGAACACCCCTTGTCCAGATCTTTCTTGTAGACACGCAGACTTCAGCATCTGAGGAGAGAGTCTGCTCAGGAACAGGTTCCTGTTGTACCCACGGCTCAGGCTGGTGAATACTGACTCTCCAGTGTGCCAGGAGTGAACAAGTTCTTCTCTCTGTGCTGGAGAAATCTGAGTGTCCACATGGGCCGCACCCAGAATGTGCCTGACAGGAAGCTCAGCCAGCGCTCGCCCACCGACAGAAGCAATGCACTGGGAAGGCCTCACTTCAGGCTGTGATCTTGAATCCACTGATTCCCCTGACAGGTTGGAGAGGGCAAAGGCAGCCTGTGCTGAGGGATCTTGTCAGTGAGAAGTTCTTCCCAGAAAGGACTGCAGTTGAAAGGGAAATGCCACCAAGGGGAAAATGCCACCAAGGGGCAAATGCTAGGCTCTAATATAAGCCAATAGTTATTATTATTGCATAAATAAAATTATATGTAATAGGGTTAACGTTTATGTGTGAAAACTATGTGTCCATTAATACATGTTGTCCTAGCTATGTTTCTGTTCCTGTGATAAATTCCATGACCAAAAGCAGCTTAAAGAGGAGAAGGTTCATTTCAGCTTGCCGTCCATCGTGAAGGCAGGTCAAGGCAGGACCGATTGATCGGAAGAACTGAAGCACAGCCCAGGGAAGAACCTCTTGCTCTCCATACTGTGCAGGCTGATTACATCATCCAGGTCCATCCTCCCAGGGCGGGCACCGACCCACTGGGCCAGGCCCTCCACATCAGTCATTCATCAAGAAGATGTCCTACAGACTTGCCCACAGGCCAGCCTGATGGGGCGTTTTCTCAAGTGAGGTCCCTCTTCTCAGTGTTTGCCAAGTTGACAGAAAACAACCAGGACACATGTAAATCAATAGTGGGTGCCCTGATGGTGGGGAAACACATGTTGGCACATTTGGGAAGACTAGTGTTAAGGTTCAAAGACAACTACTCCAAGAATCCATCTCTAGGAATAACCAAGAAATGGTGGCACAGTATAGGGAGAAGTCGCGTGGGGAAGCTTAAGTAGAGTATAGGGGATAGAAAATATTGTAATATAGACAGTTGTTGACTATAGACTCCTGGGTGCCCGCAGCTCAGGAGCAGAAGGTCCAAGGCTGTGACATCAGACATCCTTCCATGCCAGCCTAACTCAACCAGGAAGTGAAACCCACATGTTGGCAAGGCTTTCTCTTGCCTTTGTTTGGAGGGACGGGTTCCCTTCTACCTCCTGAAGTTTTCAAGCATCTCCCACGGGTCCCTTCCCAGGCTGAGCTCTGCCCTGACCCTGGGCCAGGAATGTAGGGTCCCCGTAGCAATGCAAATCTTGATCAGGAGCAGCAGGAAAGCAGCAAGCATGGAGGGTGACAGGATGGGAGACTGGCCAAGCCCTGGAAAAGGGGCGAAGCCATCCTGAAGTGAGAACCTTTTGCTGTCCCACCTCTTTCAATCTGTGCCCCAGAGAAGACCCTCAGTCCCCAGTCAGGCTCCAGACTTTGGCTACCAATGGCACAGAATACATTTTTTTTTTTGAAACAGGGCTTCTCTGTAGTTTTGGAGCCTGTCTTGGAACCAGCTCTTATAGACCAGGCTGGCCTCGAACTCACAGAGATCCACCTGCCTCTGCCTCCCGAGTGATGGGATTAAAGGTGTGTGCCACCACCGCTTAGCTGGAATACATTTTCTTAAACAAGATACACAGAGCTGTGAGCTTTCATCACAGAAAGACATGAAGAAATTCCCACAGATGTGCTACAGAGCCGAGCTCAGAGAAAAATCTCAGTTGGAAGGAGAATTTTGAAATTAGACATCTTTGGTCATTTCCCACTTAGTCCTGTCTTACCAAGACCCACTGACAAACCGCTATTATGGTCCAAACTGGGTCCCAAATTCAAATGTTGTACCTCACCCAGCACCTCAGAATGTGGTCTTATTTAGAGACAGGTCAACAGCGTAACTGAGCCACACTGCAACAGACATGGTCCAGGGTGAGAGGTGGCTGAGGAGAAGGGACAAGGGAGCCATTTGTACTCAGAAGGACTTTCTGTGTGAACAGGGATCGCCATTGAGCTGGGGAAGCTGGATCAGGCATGGGTGCTCCCCCCAGCCTCCCAGAACCAGTCTGCCAACATTAGACCTGAAGCTTCTGCTTCCAGACTATGAGGAATGAGCATCTCTTCACTAAGTCGTTATGAGCCTAGCCATGCGAGAAAGCCACAGTGCTTGGGAACAGAGTCCTGGGTCCTCCTCATGGTGTCACTGGTGTGAGAACCCATGTAGTGGAGGTCCCCTGCCTCACATGAAATGATACCCACTAGATTTCCTCTCTTGGATGGAACCTCTGTCTGGGCTGGGTTGTCCTTCACAGCTTAGCTGGACAGAGCTATTCTCCAAGCCATACTGCCATCTCTATGAGCTCTGCTATGCATGCTGGGAACTTCCGAAGACCTTGGCCAAACTCATCCTTAAGCAATCAGAAAAGTTAACGCAGTCAGTACAGTCGGGTGGGTGGAAGGCTAGACCATGCACTGTTCAGAGCTGCCCATCTCTAGGGTACAATACTGGTAAAGTTGGTCCCATTGGAGCCTTTTCATCACCGAGGTGTGTGCTATTAATAGTTTCCAAGGGATTGGGACCATGACCTTCCAGCTCCAGACACCAGGGGGCCAGCTGTCCCCAGTTTGCTTGTGAATTTAGTGGAATCTCAAACACTGACCACAGCTCACTGTGAGCCACCTTGGTGCCCTCCTCATTGAACACACTGAGAGCCCAACTCTGTCTTCCTTGGGCCACATTTCACCTTCAGTTCTTCCAACCTGGACTCTGCTTGTACCGGTATTTGATGGTGCCGATGACGGCATTTAACTTCTATCTGGGGTTTCGCACATAGTGGTGTAGTGTTGAGAGCCTAGATCTATGTTCTAGGAATGTTTCTATTATCTCAAAGTGACAGACACTTTACTTGGTGAGGAAGAGAGCTGGCCACAAGCATCCAGGAAGTCTATAGAACATGGTACAGCGAGGAGCAAGACCTCAGCCTAAGTGGGGAGGGCTGGCAGGAGGGTCAGACTGTCCCAGCTAAACACTAAGATCCTGGCACTAGCCCCTGCCCGTTCAGAGCCTGTGGTGAAGCAGGGCTTCTCTGGAGCTGCCCCCAAGTAGGACAGGAAAGACTCTAGAGCAGAATGACCTGCCCCTGCTCAGAGCTGATCTTTGGCATTCCCAGGTGTTTGCTCATCCTGGCTGGTAGCTGATGTCCTGCTCGGCCACACAGCTGTGACTCTGTAGTGCCCATTCACTGTGGTCACATGGCCTACTTCTTCTTAACCACCTGCTGCAGAAGGAGCGGATGTCATGGTTCTGGCCTCTGTGTGGTCCTGCCATCCTCCGAGGAGCCGAAGGAGCATCTCATGCGGATCAGGGCTCCATCACTTCCTGTCAGGGCACACAGTGCTCCCAGCCTTGCATCCTGCCTGAGAGTCATGCTATTGCTGGCCTGCATGCCAGCGGCCTCCATACACCCAGAATCACAGCCCTGACCTTTGTTCCTGCTCAGTCGCTGAGTTCCCGACTTTCCCAGACAGTCTGGACAGGGCCTGCAGACAGTGCAGCCACATATGGGAGGTGACAGCACCCCCTCGCACTGATGACCGGGGAGGAGATGGGAGGACCAGCACACTGGTGCCGCCCGAGCAGGAAGCTCGGGACTGTCCAGTCTCTAGTTCACTGTCTTCGGCAGGAAACAGTAGACAACGCCTAGTTCTAAGAGAGCCCTTGTGTACTTCCCAATAGAAACCACAACCTGGGACCCTGAGATGAGCTCAGAGCTCAGAGACATCCTAGTACTACTGCCTACCTGGGAAGAACTGCGGCTGTCCGTGGAGGTGAGCAGAGAGACAGTGGGGGTTCTGTATCCAGAGGGCGAGGGGGGGACAAGTGGGGCCCACAGAGGTTTGTGGGGGTGGACCATGGAGGCTGCGTGTCTAGAGGGAAGGGTGGCAGCAAGGATCATGTATAGGAAGCCCCAGGTACAAGAATACACGGACCTCATGTGACTATGAAGGATACCACTGTGCTATAAAGCACCGATCTTTCCAGTCACCTAGAGGCTAGCATCTTGGCTTCCCTGGTCTCCACAGGGTGTGGGGTTGTATGCTTCCCCCTCCATAGCCAGCGTCATGGGCTTCCATGGGCTGAGTTTATTACATGGGACCTGGCTGACCTCCAATTCTCCAGGATGGTGACGACATAGGAGGGAATTTGGCAGCTCCCGAGGGCTCTGAACGTGGTTTTCTATCCTCTAGCCCATTGCCCCGGCCACACTTTGGACTTTGACACATCTCCAGCTTTTGTCTTCAATCTGAGTCACCTCTACCATCCCGTAATCAAAGGTGCGATCATCACCGGGCACACCCTCCTTCCCAGGCCAAGCGGTTTCTCCGTCTTTCCTTCACTCTTGACTTGCCGTCCCTCTACCCAGATACTGTGGGCACAGAATTGTGTTACCCTCAGTTAGGCCTCTTCAGCTCCAGGGACAGGGACTTGCTATCTGCAGAAAGGAACCCTCGCCTCCACCTGGAAGTCAGCAAATGCTATAGTGAAGTCACTGGTCTTATGGGGTTCCCTCTCACGTCAGGCAGCAGCTGTGAGCTGTACCGAGAGGGGCACTGACATTCCAGGAGGTGACCAGAGATTACCAAGATGGATGCCTGCTAGGTTTCACCCTCTGCCCACAACCAGGGCCTCTACAGTACTTTTCCAATGGAATCTTTTTTAAATCAAATTCATCTCACAGGGAAATTCCCACAGCCCCAGAGTACCCCTAAAGAAAGAGGGCATCTCCTCTCTAGGTTGGAACACATCCTTAGGCTGTTCTTTTTAGGGACCGATGTTTAAATCTGTGCTTTGGAAACAAGTGGATGGCCCAGGCCCAGGCCCTTGTCCCTGGCTCCATCCCCTGCCTAAGCAGATGATACTGCTTCCTCCCTGACCCAGCGTCCCTGCCAGTCCAGGGTCTTACGAGGAAGTTCTGCATTTGGCTTACGCCCTTCCTTTATTCCAGGTCACAGCCACAGGGTAAGAACTCTTCCGGCAGGTGTGTGATACAGCACACATTCGAGAAGCTCACATTTTTGGCCTCAGCGTCATCAGAAGTAAGCATTGCTTGGCAACCCCAACACAGGCTGCCCGGGAAAAAAAGGGGGGGGGTCCTTGGAATTCAGGAGTATCTACCTTGCCACAGACTCTGCCCACAGATAAACCAATAAGGATATGAACACACATGCATGCACACTTGTGCACACGCACCACAAAATGTACATACTACTCACACATGTGTGCACACACACACACAAACTCACATGCCACAAACAAGAAGTGCACATGAATATTGATCATACACCTAACACAAGCACCCACCACACACATGTATGCATAACGCATGCAGTATATTCTCACACACGTACAGTTAAACCATGTACTCCCTCACACATGCATGCACATGCAGTTATACCATTCACATTCAAACACACGTGCCCATACTTGCATGCTACACATGCGTGTATAACTATACACACAGTGCACGTCCATTCATTAGTACACGGCTCACTCACTCGTGCTTAAGCATGCACTCACCCCACACGCCTGTGCATTCACATGCTTGTGAATATAAGAACCAAATTGGGCAGGAGACCAAGGACCTCCAAACCAGCAGAGAAGGGAGAGAAGGGCCAGGAGGAAGCGGGGAGCTTGGGCAGGCCGTGGAAGGCAGTGTGGAAGTGACCGTGTCTGAGCGGGGGACGACATCCCCCACCTGCATTGCACTGTCTCCGGAAGCAGCTCTCCAGATCTGCCTGCTGTCCACTCTCTGTATTCTCGTCTCTGCACTGGCACTGCTATTTCCATTGGTGCGCAAGAGCCACACAGCTCCTGTGGGATGTGATGGCCACTCTTGTAAAGCTCCTCTTAGGGGAGATAATCCTTGGTCAAACGGCTTTTCCAGGATGCTACTCTAGAGAGAACAGCTGGGACATGGCTCTATGTCCTGCCTGCGGTCCCTCAGGCCCCAGAGAGCCTAGAAGAGCAGGTGAAATGGTGAGGGCGGTGAGGGTGAAGCCGTAGGAGGTGCTAGGTAGAGCCCCCAGAGAAGGCGACTGCAGCAGCTGCAGTGGGTAGCCTTGTGCTGGTCAGTGGAACACCGTCTGGATGGGGTGAGGTACTTCTCCCTGAAGACCCAGAATTCAGTTTCCCTAGAGATTAAATTAGTCTTCTGAGGTCATGTGATACCAAGCTACCAGTAATTGGTATCTAGCGTGCAAGGCCAAAGCCCATGATATGGCCAAAACTAGGCCACGTGTTCTAAGACCTTTGTCTTCTTAGCTGAGGCTCGGCGTCAATACCCGGAGCTGTCCGCACATCAGGACTTTAACAGCTGTGCAGTTACACCTAGAAAGTGGGCTTAGGTAATCACGGAGCAGCTGCAGGAGGCCACGGGTTCTAAGTCCAGCTCTATTCTAGTTGACAGGCCTGAAGGGCTGCAAGGTGGAGCAGCCCAGCTGGGTACCAGCTGAGGAAGCCAGGGAGCATACCGTGGGGCTTGCTGGGACTGGGAGTGAGTGTTTGCTCATGCTATGCCTTCTCCCAGCAGGGACACTCTTCACGGGAGGGGTTCAGCTCCTGCCAGCCAGCCTTAGCATGCATCTCTTTCCATGTACCATGTCAGGGAACAAGGGGTCAGTACACGAGCAAGGGAAGAACTTGGGGTTCCCTTCCTCTGAACTGAACTAAGGGTTCTCTCTGAACAAACAGTGACAGGCTCTGGCTCACCTGGGACCTGAAGAGAGAAGGTTGCAGCTGAGCCAAGTAAGCCGTTCGGTGTCAGCCGTTGCCTTGGAGGAGCTGCTGGCTGCAGGGCCCAGCTCTTCCTACTCTACAGGGGCGCCAGGTCACAGCAAGCAGCCAGCTGGGAATTTTATTGAATCTGGACTATGGCCACATTCCTGGGTCAGGCTGGACATAGAGTGCTCAGCCTGCCATGTCCAAGAGAGTTGTAAGAAAAACAGTTCTCCACAGGGGTACGACCCTGGGTGTGTTGCAGTCCCTGCTTGCCTGGGCTTTGTAGACCCCTGCCACCCTCATGGGGCTGTCCTGGCAACAGGCTCTAAGCTAAAGATGTTTACTCAGGCCTCTCCTGGTGCTGGATATAGGGGGTGGAAGAAGCAGCAGGCTTTTCTGTCACTGAATCATGGACCCCTGGGCAAGAGTCCCCTTGGGGACCACTGTCCACCCTGCTCTATCACGTGGAGGCCGACAAGATTGTATTTTGGCAGTCCTGGGATTTGAACCGAGGACCTTACGTGAGTGAGGCAAGCACTCTGCCACTGAGCTACAGCCCCAGCCTTACGAGTTCATTTTTTAGAAAAGCTTTAGTTTCGTGGCAAAACTGAACGGAACATACAAAATTTCCCATGTGGCTAAAGTTCCAGCCACCTACCCTGGCCACATCATCCAGAAGACAGGAGATTTTTCACAGCCCCTGGTCTTACAGTGACCAGCAGTGTCACTAGAGTTCACGGCAGACACGGCACACTCTGGGTCTGGGAGAACTCACAGTACCGTCTGGCGGTGTCACTGCATCAGTTCCTGGGCTTTATCTCCTCATCCCTCTCCCCACCCCAGAAGCTCTGATCCATTTCCTGCCTCTTCGTCCCCATTTTCCAGATTGGTGGTTCACACTGTACAGTGTACAACCCATCAGCCTGAGATTCCTAATGATTCAGTGTGTGCTGGCCGGAAACCTCCCTTCTTCTCAACCCTTCTTTTCTTCCATTGCATTCTCCTGCCTGAGGACGCCTCACATTGAGGAACTTGCTTCTTGAACACAGGAAGGTCGGGCGGATCAGATAAGAAAGTTATCTGGTCAAAGTCCTGTGTCTCCCAAAGCCCAAAGTGTGAACTGTTTGTGTTGGGACCCAGGGCCTTGGAGCAAGATTGATCAGGTCTTGAGGACATGGGAAGGACATGGAGTCTGTGCCTAACACTTCCAGAGAGCCCTAGGCAGTGAATGAATACTGTTCTAATTCGGCTATTGCATTGACCCACAGTCCTAAGAACTGGAAATCTGAGGTCAAGGTGACCAGAGCTGTATCCTCCGTGGCCTCTCTGAGGCCTAGGACAGCCTCCTTCCTGTGGCTTCCCCTTGTCCCTCTGTGTCTTTGTGTGTCTCAGTCTGGCAGAGCCCTGCTTATCCTTGGATCCCCCTGATGAGCTTCTACAGCTGACTGCTTCAGGAAACCTCATCTCCCTCCACCAACTGAGGCTCTGAGGGGATGGGAAGTGCAGGGCCTTCCATAGCAGGAACAGTACTGGCTGCTGGTGAGTCTGAAAATTCACTCAGACTCTGCCTTTCCAGACATGGGCAAAGGCTGGCTGGGCAGAAACTGCCCGCGCCCTTGCGTTAGCCCTATCCCCCAGCCTCTCGTCTACATGGGCTCTAGCACCCCCAGGCATGTCTGTCAGGTGGCCGCTGAGCCAGAACGTGGGAGTGGATGGCCATGAAATATGCCTTACCTGATAACAACAAGCCACGACTCTGGACCTGATCATATGACTCTCGCCAGGTCCACAATGCCAGGCTGCCTGCTTCTTGGTGCTTCCCAGATGGTCGCTTCTGTCTTGAGTCCGCCCTAAGGCGTTACCTCATTCTGGACACCAAGTCTATGAGAATGAGAACAGCAGAGATAGGCTCTTGGGGCTCCACATTCTTCTCTAGGGCCCTTGTTCATGCTTTCCAGCTTAGACAGGAAAGGGACAATGGGTTTCTCCAGAAACAAAGGAAAGCTTGTTTTAGCAAAATCACCTCCAGTAACCCCATTCTCAGGGCAGCCCTGATAACAAGGGTGGCGTGGGTCACCCACACTGGTCGGTTTTGGTGACGGCTCACAGGAAGCCCTGTGGATGATTAGGTCTGCAGACACTGTCGGCTACTCTCCGCACAGTGAGGACCAGCCCAGGTGGCTCTGCCTTGGGAGGATGCTTGCCATAGCCACAGCCTGAGATGGTCATCTCTCACCTGCGGTGTCTTGTCTCAGTGCTCAACCTCAGAGGCATCTGTGCCAACCCAGCTGCATGCAAAGCTCTAAGCCAACAGACACACTTGCTCCGGCCAGGCTCAGCTTTTGCCTGACAGGATCCCCCGGGAAGAATGAGAGTGTCTTCTCTGCCCTGGACTTCTCTCTTCCAGACAATGAGTACGTGTTCCTGAATTTGAAGGAAAAGCTCAGTAAATACTTCTTAAAGGACAGGAAGATGGAGCCGCACAGAGTAAGCGGGGGATGGAGGAAAGAGCCAGGGCCATCACTGTGGACAGTGACTAGGAGGGCTCTCGGGTCTGGGAGGGGCAGGTGCTGGGTCAGGCCCAATCATTGTCACTGCATGGTCACCTGTTTGCCCAGAGTTGTCCTCTTGTCTGCTCACACTGTCCTCAAGTCCTGCACTTACGTCCTAAGAGTTGAGGGTGGGTGGATCGCCAGTCCCATGCCCTCAGTGTGATGCCTGTAGCTGCCCTGAGAACATCCCACTTGGGGTTTCCCCTTTGAAGAAAAATAAGATAAAGCAATACAACTATCACAAGCACTAAGTCTTGGGTCTGAGGTGTCCCCAGGCAGGCCTGTGGAAGCTCCCCCATTGTGCATCCCTCAGTGGGGCTCCTTTTCAGGCTCCTGTCTTTTTCTTTGTTCTTCTGACAGAGGGGTCAGATATCCAGGGCGCCCTTTATCATCTTCTTCAGAGTGCAGTTCTACGTGGAAAACGGGAGGGCCATCAGGTAACTACGCTGCCAGCAAAGACACTACCCAGGAAGGGAAATACAAGCCACAAGATAGGCAAGTGTCCTTGGTGTGCACTGAAAGAGAAAGGTCCTATCATAAGGATGCCATCCCTTCAAAGCCAGGCAGGTGTCTCCATCTGGTGGCTGGAGCTGAGACTCAGAGTTGAGCTTTAAATGGGAATTGTGCTTCCTGCCAGGTGTCCCCAAGTCTACTTGGGCAGGGAGGGTCCTGGGAAGGGTGAGAGAGAAATGGAAGGTTCTTGCTTGGCAAGAGGTAGATCCGCTGCCATTGGTGCCTGACGGGTGTCATCAAAGAACTAGATATTCTCCAAGCAGAGCTCTGGGAAGTTATCAGCAGGGCTTGGGCGTCCTTGGGATGTCCTTGGGGTGTCCTTGGGGTGTCCTTGGGATGTCCTTGGGATGTCCTTTGGAAAGTGCAAACCTGGTGCTGGCGCCCAGAAATGGTGAGTGAGGTCGTGGAAGATTCTGGAGTCAGAAGTATGTGACTATAGAAGGATCTGTTCTGGAGCATACTAACCGAAGAAGGTTCCAGAGAGTGGGAATGTGTGGCCATGTGGAGCATTCTAGTGACATCTTAGCAGGGAAAACCAGACGGAGGCTGATGCATGGTTCTCTGTACTGCAGCGGCCAGCCAGATTGCTATATTAAAAGATGTAGGAGAGGCTCTCAGGAGGTTTGCACTACTTTGGGTTAGCTGATGGTACTGGACAGACTGACTGGGAGGCAAGTTGGTGGCATGAGTTTGCCCCTGTGCCAGAGACTCAGAAGCTCCCACAAATGGCACCACTTGCTCCTGGATCTCAGCTGCTGGAGGGCCACACCCATAGGGACAGATCTTGTCCTTGCCCCTGGCTTCACCCCTGTCTCACTAAGGTCCCTGTAACAAGAGATGTCCCCGTGCATGAACAGACTAGGAAGTGGCTACCAAGAGTCCTCAGAGGCCTGTGGACTAGGAAGCCAGGCCTGGGGAAGGCAGGGGAAACAGGGCCGACTGCAATGGGAGGATCCTTCTGCCCTGCTGCTGCGCAGTGACAAGACAGCCTTGAGCCTGTACTACTGCCACCTGAAGGAGCAGGTCCTGAGGTCCAGGTGCGTGCACAGAGAAGAGGCCTACTTTCTGCTGGCTGCCTGTGGGCTGCAGGCTGACCTGGGAACCACCAGGAGACGGTCCATGTGGGCAAGTACTTCGAGCCCCATGCCTACTTCCCTCAGTGGCACCCTCCTTGGGATGGGCGGGGGAAGGGGAGGGACTAGGGAGGAGCAAGGGCATGGAAACAGAGGGACTCGAGTCCAAGAGGGCCCAGCAATGGCATTGCAAAGGCTGGCAACACGGTGCAGGAGCCGCAGCCAGGCAGGCTATGCCTTTCTTTGGTCGTGCAGAAGTCAGCCAGCTCACCATCTCTGCACTGCCTTAGCCCACCCAGCCTGTATAAGGACAAACCAACCCGAGAACCCCTCTTTGCCTTGGTGCGGGAGAATTGTCTGTATTCTGTCAAACATGTTATAAATAAACGCTGATTGGCCAGGCAGGAAATATAGGCGGGAAAACCAGACAGGAAGTAGAAATGATGTAATGAGAACAGGAGAATTCTGGGAAGGAGGAAGTTGATTCCTCCCACTCCTGCCCAGCCCACCGAAGCAGCAGGATGTGATCTGCCCCACTGAGAAACATGGTACTGAGCCACATGGCTAACATAGATCAGAAAAATGGGTTAATCTAGATGTGAGAGTTAGCCAGTGAGAGGCTAGAGCTAATGGGCCAATCAGCTTATAACTTATAGAGATCTCTGTGAGATTTTTCTCTGGGACTAAATAGCTGGGAAACTGGGCAGGACAAAAACCTCAACAAACAAGCAGGGCCCCCGTTTATGCTACAGTGCCTCAGTTTCCTCACCTGTGTCCTAGGAGAAGTGAGCAAGAGGTACTGCTCCTTCGTGTGTAAAATCCTAGCTTCACCGCCATGCTGAGAAAATGGCTCTGGGGACTGTGGGCCCTCCCACGCCCCCACCCCCTCTCCATTTCCATCTTCTGTGCCTTAGGCCTCACGTTCCTGCCTTGCAGAGCTATCTCCAAGGACAGGCTGGAGGCCAGGCAACTTTACTTAAAGCCTCCCTTAGCCCACACACCTTTCTGTCTCTCACTGGAGCCTGAGCCTTTTGGTTTCAGTCATGGCTTCCTCACCGGGGAGTTCCCCAAGAGTTGCAGTTTTTGGGGTAAATATGCCCCACAAACCTTCTAAGGAGGGCTGTTTCTGTGGTCCTTTTGAGCATTGGGGTGACACAGGAGAGGGGATCAGGACCAAAGATTTAAGGGCATCGCATCCTCACCTTCGGGTCTGGCTAAGGCAGAGGGCCCAACTCTGCTAAACACAGGCTCTGGCTAGGAAGTTGGCTGCTTCCAAAGGCAGGAGGGGGGGGGTGTCAGCACAGAGAAAGGGCAGGCTGAGGTCTGAGATAGCGGCGGCTCTGTCCTCAGATTATCAACAACAGGGGGCCTGACTACATCCTCAGGCATGTGCCTAGCATGCACCGTGAACAGCGGGGCCTGAGCCCCAAGGAGGCCATACTCCGCTTCATCAGGGATGCCTGCCGACTTGAGGACGTTCCTGTCCACTTCTTCAGGCTGTACAAGGTCTTCCCCATGGTGTCAGGGGTGGGAGGGCCCCGGGGCAGGGGTGGGTGTTCCCCCATGGCTGACAATGTGACTAAGATTCCAGGGTATTGTAGGCAGGACTGTCCTTAGGACCTTGGATGAGTGATGAGTTGGAGGGTTACTTGGTCGCTGTTTGTTTCCTGGCTGCCCAGCAGCTCAGACCCCAGACCTGAAATAATCACGCAGAAATGATATTATTTAAATCACCACTTGGTGCATTAGCTCTAGCTTCTTATTGGCTAACTCTTACATCTTAATTTAACCCATCTCCATTAATCTGTGCATCACCATGAGGTCGTGGCCTGCCAGCAAAGTTTCAGTGCATCTGTCTCCCACAGCAGCTCCATGGCTTCTCTCTGACTCCGCCCTTCTTTCTCCCAGCATTCAGTTTAGTTTTCCCTACCTAGCTAAGTTCTGTCTGCTATCGGTCTAAAGCAGTTTCTTTATTCATTAATGGTAATCACAGCATGCAGAGGGGAATCCCACGTCAGGTAGCTGTCCTGGAACTGGCATTCTGGCTTTCTCTGGTGTCTGACTTCTGTTAAACCCAGCTTGCTCAGCCTCTGCTATCTGGTCTGGTCTAACAGTGGCTGGTTTGCCTGGCCACTCCGACTGCCCCTCATTCACTGCCTGAACCTAGCATGGCGTCTGTTCTCTGGGGATAGGATAGCCTCCCACAAGGGGCACTAGGGGTGGAACATTTGTCTATGAGGTTCACAAGATTCAAACATCTATGGAGCATACCACGCCTGTACCCAAGGAGGGCTGCATGGTGGCTTGGGCTTATGTAGAGCGACAAGAGGAGCCTAAATAGACCTCCTTCCACCTGCCCCAGGGCCAGAGCTTTAACCTCTGACCTGTGTCCTTTTAGGAAAAGAAGGATGATTGCCCTACCATCCTCCTGGGACCCACTCTGCAAGGAGTGCACACCTCTCGGGTGAGGGCTCCTCCCTGTCTCTTTTTTCCTCCACCTGCTGCTGTCCCGGTCCCCAGCCTGCATTCTGGTTTCCACATTCCTCCACATTCCTTCTGTCTTTCAGGAGGCGGACCACGCCCAAGCGCTCTGCCGCTCTTCCACTTCCCCTGGTCACATATTCCGAAGGTGACATTTCTGGTGGGTGTCTGAAGCAGGAGAGGATCCACAACAGTCAGGGGGCCCGAGAACAGAGAACCTGCAACTTCATTCTCAGAATGGGATAGGGTTCCACACCGCCGGGTATCACCCAGCCCTGCTGGTCCTCACCACCATGTCTGGAGGCACAGCCACAGTGGTGTTCAGCCTCTGAGATGTGCATAGCTCTGGTCACCACTCAGCGACGACGAGAGAACGTGGTTCTTTAGAGACACGCTGTGCGGCTTCTGTCCTTGCTTTTTGCAGAAGCTGTCTCCACTGGAGAGCAGGCTGGTTCTGGACAGTGACCAGGGCTCAAGGCAAATCCTGAATTTAAGACCTGTGTACAGTCCCAGGCAGGAAGGTCCTGCAAAGGAGGGCTGCCCCAGGATCCCTCTATCTTCTCATGGCTGGGGACAGATGGTACTGAGCCATGGTAAACAGGGACACCAATTCTCTAAACTGGAAGTGTCAGCCAGGGCCCAGTTGGGGCTTATGGTTGACATTAACGTATTTCTCTCCTGCTGCTGGGACAGTTTCCTGGACTGTAAAATCATTCTGTCCTTCCTGTGTGTCCAGGGGAAGAAGCTGGAAGTCCAACCAGAAGGGCTACCGGCAACACAGAAGCTGCTGTTCTACACGGGCTACGCCTGGTGCTCCCGCTACCTGCTGCAACTGCTTCATGCCACACACCAGCTGCATCTCAGCTTGCGGCCTGTGCTGCAGTGGCTCCAAAGGCTGGAGGAGGCAGAACGTGGGTGTGATATCCAGCTTGGTCCAGTTACCTAGCTGATGGCCACGCACCCTCTCTAGGGTCTGAGATACAGCGAATCAGCCCTTGAGACCCTCCATTCCTGAGGCTGGCCAGCTCTTCCGGGCTTGGCGGCCAGGACACACCTTATATTGCACCTGTCGTTGCTGGTGGTCATCAGCTCCCTGGGTGTGTGATTGAAAGCAGTGATGATCTGTCTGTCACTTCACTCTGTACATGATTCTGTAGAATCTTATTCCTCACATCCTTAGCCCTACAAAGAGCCAGAGATACAACCTGAAGGGAGGCCAGCCTTGGTGCTGCCCTGCCTTGCTTCACACTGAAGCAGGTGTGTGTGTGTGTGTGTGTGTGCGTGTGTGTGTGTGTGTACCTGAACATATTTGTGAGACATGAGTGAGTAGACCTCTTTGCCTGTGTTAGGAGGCAGGTCCTTGAGGATGCTGGGTGCATCCTTCGAACCAGCAGCTGCGATCTGCTCTCCGCTAGTCCTGTCCTGGGTCATGGGGCACCAAGACTGCTCAGGATGGGTCTGCTGCCAAGGGCAGGGTGTCACAGCCTCTAGAACCATCACAAGAGGCTGCTGGTGACCAGTTTCGTTCATGCTTGTCTGACTGTCACTATGGGCTTTGTGCAGGGGTCACTTCCCCCGGGGGGCAGTGCTTTGCTCCACATCCATCAGCAGGGCGTGGGACTCTGACAGCGCTGGTCCAGGAATGCAGGAGGCATTTCATCCTCCAACACCAGCCTTACGTTGTCTTCTGCGCAAAGGAGAAGTGCTACTGGGAATCCTACATCAGAGACCCACTGGAGTTAGACCGAGAATCTTACATCAGAGACCCACTGGAGTTAGACCGGGAATCCTACATCAGAGACCCACTGGAGTTAGACCAGGAATCCTACATCAGAGACCCACTGGAGTTAGACCGGGAATCCTACATCAGAGACCCACTGGAGTTAGACCAGGAATCCTACATCAGAGACCCACTGGAGTTAGACCGGGAATCCTACATCAGAGACCCACTGGAGTTAGGCCCGGACCCACGCAGCAGGTACCCATCCCAGCACCCAGCGTGGGGCGTGTGAGATGTCCGTGGATGAGCCCACGGGGACTGAGAGTATCTGTGGGACGATGCCATCCAGGAGTTCCTGGAGCAGCTTCAGCAGCCATGATGCCTGCACCAACAGTGGAGGTGAGCTCTAGACATTGCTAATCTGGTTCCCTGGCTGCAGGCTAAAGTGGCCATCCAGGGCTGCACAGTATCTCGTACAAAGCCAATCAGCGTCAGGCAGATCTGCCACTAACACTGTCTGCAGTCACATTCTCGGAGTCTTGTCTAGGCAAAGGGCAACTGGCCTTGTCTGAAGTTACTTGAGTATGAGCCACTGTCTGTTCCCTAGGCCCCAAAAGAGATGGGCACTGAGAAGATGCCATCCCCAGCTCTTCAGGGGGCTTCTTGGCTCCCACGAACAGCAACCTCTGCCTCTCCTAACGCTGACTGGAGCTACTCTGTAGAAGACAGGATGTCATATGTCAGATGGAGCCCGGACACCATGGGCTCATCTGAGACTCTGTGCTCTTGTGTGTGTGGAATCGCAGACAGCTTGTGGCTTTCTTGCTGGCAGTTCAGACAAGCAGATGGCCTCATCTCAGACAGTCCTGTGAGGAGGGGGATTTGGTTATGGCAGGAAAGAGCCCAGGACAGGATAGGGCACAGCAGTGAGGATGGACCCTGTTCATTTTTCTCCTCCTTATCCTCCTCCTCTTCCTCTACATCTTCCCAGCAGCTTCCCAGAGCCCTTCTCAGGAGTATGAGTCATGCTGATCAGGACATGGGGTCCCGAGAACTGAGGCCATGCCCCAAGTAAGGTCTCCTCATGGCTTCTGCTCCCTGCCCACCTAGATTTCCGAATTGGGTCCTCTGGGCCCTGAAGGGGCCTCTATGGGCAGCCCTGGAGGTACAGCCCGGTTCTTGGGAACAGTGGGTTTGGCAGTAACTCTCTGCTTCAGTCTCAGGGACTACATGAGCAGGCGTCCCAGAACACAAAAGGCACCAGTCGTCAGGATGAGAACTACCAACACTGCTGTCTCTCTATAGGCTGGGAGGCCACCACAGGGGTGACAAGGACCTCCACAGCCTGGACCACTCGAGTCTGCACCCGCCTTCCCAACACCTTCTGAGTACTCACCAGTCACACCTGGGGCTGGCAAGAAGTTCCGGAACTGGCCTGGTGAAGACTCACCCCTGCCTGCAGAAGTCTGTGGTGCAGGCAAGAGCTACCCAGCAGCCCTGTTTGTGCCAGTCAGTCTTGAAGGTGACTTGCTGGCATCCAGCACCATTTTGTCCAGGTCTGGCAAGGCAGTCCCTGGCCCTCAACCCTTTCTGCCTGCATATAGATCACCTATTCTTTGCCTGCTCACCTGTAGGAGGGGTGGAGCCAGCTCTGACCTTAGCCTAGAGGTAGGGGTGGGCTCTGCTCTTCCTGTCTCTCACCGGGCCAGCATAAACTCTGAGTGAGCTGGGCTCGAATCTGTGAGAGGTGTCATAGTGGGACATGGGCATTAGAGGGCGCCCCAGGACTGCACAGTCAGCCTAGGCTGGTCCGGCTTTTCCATCAGGACTCTGTAATCCCTTGTTCCATAGCTTGCTTCTAAGTGCTACACCAAACACAGAGGCCTCTCGTACAGTGTGTGGCTCTGCCGCACCAAACACAGGGGGCTTCTCTTACAGTGTGTGGCTCAGTCCCACCCAGAGACCCATGCAAACAAAACACCATTGGATGCAATGAATTCTTTTCCTGTAAAAACCCCCTTACTCCCTCCTCAGGCTTCCTCCACCTGGCCATGACACTGTCACCAGGACAGTGGGGCAGGGATGTCTGGGGGTCTCCTCCACCTCCTCACCACAGCCAGAGAGGTGCAGAAGCTGGTGAGCAGGCGTAATCCATGGGCTCTGGGAAGACCCTGGAGTGTGGTGGGTTATCGACCCACAGACCCCTCAGGGATCTTCCTGCCCTGGGTCCAAAGGAGAACCTGATGTTACTTTATTTGTGGGGGACTTGTGTGTCACTGCTAGTCACAAGTTCTTGGCAGCTGTGCCCAACATTGGGCCCCCTCTAACCCCCACATTTGCCAGAGTGGAGCACAAGTCTGGCTGGTTGGGTAGGGCAGTACTTCTTCACCTAGGCCTCTCTTCCCTGTGCATCCTGAGCCCAGGCAGAGTGTGGTTGCGCCAACCGGCCAGGACGGTGGCTGAGGTGTGACTCACACAGGGGGCTGACTGAACTGAGGGTTCCATTCCCTGCATGGTGTGATAAGAACAGATTGGGAATTGTGGACAGGGCTGGGCAGCCAAAGCTGATTCAGGCTCTCCAGAAGACCAGTATACAAAGTAGGATTAACTAACCCTGACTGAGAGGCATACGGTCTTCCATTAGAGAATCTTTGAGAACAAGAAACCCCAGTGTCAGCGGAAGTCTGTGACAGCTGTGGTGCTAGGCGTGGGGCAGGGCTGATTTCAGGACATGCCCCCCCCCAGACACACAGGTACACATGTGCGCACACACACACACACACACACACACACACACACCACGTTCAGGAACAGGAATGCAGATAGTGATTTCCATGACACAAAGCTAACCCAGGGAGTCAGGATTGTATCCAGCTGCCCTGCCTTAGCGTCCCCTTACCACATATGCCCCTGGAGAGTGTCAGCCAGAGGTAGAAACTCCCCTCTCTGGTGTCCCTATCCCTCAAGCCCACGGGAGGTCACTCTGGCCCCAAGTAGATCACCTGGCCCTGGGGTTCCTATGTGACCCCAAGGAATAAAACAGCCCGCCGTTCATTTTCATACTGTTGCTCACAGAGCTGGCTCTTGGCAGAAGTCAAAGAAGGACTTGGAAGGGCCTGGGTGTCTTCTTTACCACCTGTGGAACCAAGGTGTTCCAGACAGAGCTGGGTATGTGCTGAGTAGCAAGGTTAAGAGCAGGCAGCACTGTCAGGGTTTGTCCTCCTCTGGTCCTGGATGTGCCCCTCCCAGCAGAGCACGGCCTGCTGTTACAGCTGCTTCTCGTTATGTTTATGAATAGCACAGTAAGAGGCCAGCTGGGTCTTCTAGTCCTCAGGGAGAAGGCCCCGTACTCAGTTGTCCCCTGCGAGTCCCCTTGGCCCCGGACTGTGGTTTTCAGTACTCCCAGGAGCAGCAGAGGCCAGTTCAGCTCACCCTCAGTGTGTGTGCAGCAGCAGCTAGGGCTTCATGGAAGTCAGGACCTGTGCCCCGTGTCTTCACAGACAAGAAGACAAGACCATTGGTTGACCCTGAGAAGTCACTTGGGACCCACAAGGATTCCTATTTCTGTCCTTCCTCTGAGCCTGTGGACAGGCATGGGGAACTATGCCAAGTGTCTCTGACCACCAGATTGCACAGAGCTGCAGACCGCGGTCGTGACCCTTGGGACATGGAGAGGACGATTAAAAGCCAGGCTCTCTCTGTGCCGCTACCCAAGAGGGTTCAATGGGGCAAGCAAGGAAAGGCGGGGGCATAAAAAGGAGCTGAGGCAAAGTCCCCAGGCTCCTTCCTATATTCATCTGTGAGACTGGAGAAAGAAAGCTACCACTCACAGTCCCTCTGGTCCCTGGGCAGGGGCTGAAACCCTTTGACTAGTTCCCTAATGCAGAGTGGCTTGCCATAGGAGCTAGTCCTACAGCAGGGCCAGGCTCACGGCAGAGCTAAGCATCCAGATTCGAGAGACCTTCCCAGGAGCACGCCTGGCCAGCTACACCCAACAGAGGTGTTTCTACAGTGCTCACGGGGACTGGAGCTCAAGAGCCTGCTGTAGGCCGTGGTGTCCAGCGTGAGGAGGACCTCCGGGTGGGGCATACAGACAATGGTGGCTGCTTGTGTGATATGGGCCGCAGAGCAGACCTACACAGCAGCTCTGGCTCCCCTCCTCAGCAGGCGGAGGCCAGAGCACTCTTCCGCATCCCCCTTCTGATGGGAGCACCTTCACTTTGTAATGTCTCTGACCCTGGGGTCTCAGAGAGTTAGTTGCTCAAAAAACAGTGATGTGGGACAGGCAGGGCAACCATCTCAGCACCAAAGAAGACTAAGCTGGGGCTCCCACGGTACGCTGATGGGGTCGCAGTTTTGGAAATATTTAGGGGACAACATGTGTGGCTAGGATCTTATCTCTCTCTCCTTGATATCATCACCCTTCTGGCGATGAGCGGTACAAGGGGACCATGCAGACGGGCTTCTTCCCGGAGCTGTGACAGACAGCCACCAGCTGGGCGTGTTATGGCTCAGTGTAGGGCAGCAGGCTTCCTGGAACTTGGCAGCCCTTGGTTCACTCCATTCTGGAAAGGATAGCAGAGGGAAGACATCTGCTCTGACTCCCCACACCCCAAGCCAGAGCACATGGTCTTGGGGTCACGCAGGGTCTAGACACAACAGAACCGGCCTCCACATCATACAGCTCCAGTTTGGGGATCTTAAAGGTCTTCTGTGTCCCCAGTAACAAGCTGGAAACGAAGAGGAAAAGGCACTCATGAAATATCTCAGAAACAAGCTGCATCCGCCACACCAGGAGGAAGCTGGCTGTTCAGTCACACGAGGGGGTGAGGGCCTAGGGCCCAGCGGGCAACATGGAGGGGGACCACTGCTGGCCATCACAAGCCATTGGGAGTAGTTCAGCAGCAGCCCTGCTCAGCACACGTGAGAGGATCCTGCACTGGTCCCCAGCACTGCAGGACAAAGGCGCTGACGCCCTGAACCTGTGTTTGTTTGCCCACTTTCTAGAGGTTGGGCCTGGAAGCTTTGAATCTTTCCCTCATTTGTCTCTAGAAACACTGCAGGATTTATCACATTGATTCCTTTTTCCTAAGAGAGCACGGCCCTGGGACCATCTACGAAGGTGTCAGGCCTCAAAATCGGGTTGAAGATGGAACACTAATCTTGGGACTTTGGTGCCATGGAGAGCAGCTGACTGAAGCACATTTAATAAAAGCCCAGAGACAGAATTGGGGTCTAACCTGAAGGTCAGAAAAGCAAAACAGCCAGCCACTGGCTCTTACCTCTACCTCAGTCCAAATTGGCGATCACACCTCTAGGAATTCCAGAATGAGACTGAGACCGACATGTCTCCTCCCGTTTATAACCCTCTCTAGGGCTGGGATTAAAGGCGTTCACCACTACTGCCCTGTTTCTATGACAAACTAGTGTGGCTACTGGGATTAGAGGTGTGTGCCACCACTGCCTGGTCTGTGAGGCTGACCAGGACAGCTGTTTTACTTTCTAATCTTCAGACAAGCTTTATTTATTGAAATACAAATGAAGTATTACTAAAGCTGGCTTCTGGAGACATGTGAACAAGTCCCCTGCACCCTGATGTCTGCTCAGAGCTCCGGTCAGCAGATGGAGGCTTCTGGCGGCCGGGAATAGGGCAGAGGCTGGTGGTTCTCCACGTCTCACCTGCTCGCCCGCCTTGTGGTCCCTCAGATGTTGTTGGCCCTGGCTTCAGGTGTCTGCCCCGAGCTGCTCTTGGCATCTGTGCCAAGAATCGCTGGCTAAGATGGGCAAAGCTGAACCCCACTGGTCCCCTTGCTCAGTCACCGGCTGGAACAGGGGTAGGGCAAGCCAATGGGTCAGGCCTTGGGACAGAAACCAGAAGTCAAGGTTGCAGAGTGTCCAGGGCCTGTTGACGGCACCTTCGCCCAGTGCACGCTGAGTCCCTGACAGGCTTGATATGTTGAGTTGATGCCCTGTCTGGCCACACTGGGGTTTAGAGTCCTCAGGGCCAGTTGCTGGTCATTTAGGTTACTGTCACCTAGTCTTGGGTCACACTTGCTACTGGGTCTGTAGAGACCAATCTTTGTCTTACCCGACCTGTGGTTGCAGTGTCTGACCTTCAGTACTGAAAAAGGCATGGCATACACATTGATTTTTCCACAGATCCTAGTCCTGGGGACTTTCTCTTAGCCATGGTCAGGGCCCATCTTGGCCTAGAGACAATGGAGGAGCAAGGAGCTACCCTGCCTGCAACCTTACCCTTCTCTCACCCCTTCCCTGCATCCCAATTATTGGCCAAGCCAGCATCAGTAGATGCAGGGGTCAGCCTCTGGTGGTAGCAGCCATATCCTGGCTCCCTTCATGAAGGTGCTTGGGCTCCTAAGCAGAACCCCCAGGCCTGCTTGCCTTTGACAATTCCCCTGCAGGCCCTGAGATAGAGCATGCTCTTCTGCTGGAACCCTTTCCTGGGGGAACCCATCTCAGGCAAGCCCTTCCTATATGCCCTGATGGGGGACCCTCCAGAGATTTCCTGGGTGTTCTGGTGGCCTCATCAGCCCCTGTTTCCCCTCTCATCTGGGGCTCATCTCTACTGGCTCCCATTCTGTAGAGATCAACCTGAGCAGTGGGGGACAGGTGAAAGATGAAACCCTCATCTGGCTGTTCCTCTGTAACCAGCCAAGTCCAGCATCCCCATAGTCCTGTGTGTTGTGTATCTGAGTTTCTGTGCCAGCCTGGTAAAGCTGAGGCACATCTCAGACCAGCTAAGAACCAAGAAATGGAGTTCTTATGCTATAACTGTTTCCTAGTGGCATGCCCTCTTCAGCTACAGATAACAGCAAGGGTCCTCTTCCAGGCATGTGACAATGAGGCCAACCCGTGCCACTCCTACATCCACATTGGAACTGGACTCACCTGGACTCCAAGGCAAGTGGAACGCACTGTCCTCTGTCTGTCTAAGCTCCAAGAGCCCTAATGGCTACTCCAACTCTACAGGGAAGAGCCTGAGGGCTTGCCACGGTTTCCCTTGAATAAGGAGTTTCTTGTCACTTATGCCCAGCCCGGGAACTCGGCGCGCTAAGGAGGATTAGAACTCTGAACACACATGTCTTTGGTGAATGTGACCCTGGCACTAACTAGGCTAGTTCTTGCAAGGCTCACATAGCCTGTGTTGACCCTCTGGGTTTCCACCTCCATCCCAGAGTTGGGAGGATGGGAATGGGGCTTTAGATTGGCTGGGGCACAGAGATGGAAGCAGGTAGAGTTCATGTATAGCTCGGGAACCTTAATGTGCAGATGCTGGACCTCGCTATGCATCCCAAGGTGACAGACCCAGCCTGCCTTACAGTCCAGCTCCTTTTCCAGGTGTGGGTCCAGCCATGCTCCTGATCCAGGAGAAGTCTCCTCTCCAGCCACTTTATCCCCTATCACTCTAGGGTCCAGGGATCTGGGGCAAGGTTCACCCCAGGCCCAGGGAGCAAACAGCCTCCTTGAGGCCAAGAGAACACTGTTTATTTCTGAAGTACACACATCCTACAGCAATGACATGAAGCACACCTCAAGGAAGAGCAGCTGACCCTGCCAGGCCCATCCCTGACCTCTGCATCTGGGAGCTGCAAGGTCTCCTTCTGGGTGCTCTTCGCTCAACCTGCCGTGCTCGAGCCCCAAATTTTAGGCCCCGTAGAGTCTCTGCCATGTGCTTCTGCCCGGGGGATACACACAGAATCATCAGTAACTTTGCATCACCGCCTTAAAAAGAATTAAAGATGTCAGGTGTAAAGTATGAAAATGACATTTCTAAGTGCTAGATGGCTATTTGAATGGAGAAAGTCTGTGAACACTCCGAGCAGGGACCACGGGCATGGAGAAAGTCTGTGAACACTCCGAGCAGGGACCACGGGCATGGAGAAAGTCTGTGAACACTCCGAGCAGGGACCACGGGCATGGAGAAAGTCTGTGAACACTCCGAGCAGGGACCACGGGCATGGAGAAAGTCTGCCCACACTTTGAGCAGGGACCACGGGCATGGAGAAAGTCTGCCCACACTCTGAGCAGAAACCACGGACATGGAGAAAGTCTGCCCACACTCTGAGCAGGGACCACGGGCATGAAGAAAGTCTGCCTACACTTTGAGCAGGGAACACAGGCATGGAGAAAGTCTGCCCACACTCTGAGCAGGGACCACAGGCATGGAGAAAGTCTGCCTACACTATGAGCAGGGAACACGGGCATGGAGAAAATCTGCCTACACTTTGAGCAGGGATCATATCCTAGTAAACAAGAGGTAAAGGTCAGCACAGGGCCCTGGGCTGGAAGCCACTGAAGGCCACTCATCCCTCATTGGGGTCCTCTCTCCGTAGCTTAGAGACCCAGCCACGGACTGTGCCTGCCACAAAGAAGAGATTGATGGTGACAGTCCCCCTGAAGAACTCTGTAGTCTTGCTGAAAAGACAAGAGGAAAGCCTGCTGTTCAGGCCACCCTGCAGCATAGCTACGGCATAGTGCCAGCCACGGTGACTAAAAGTCTGAAGACACACTGGGGACAGAACATGGCGGGGCCTGGCAGAGCCGTTACTTTGCCAAAGGTTGTATGTTTTGGGAAAAGGGACAAGCAGGGCTAGGATTGCTCCCTCAGGCTTAGCTCTCTGTCCCCTCTACTTTGGGGCCTCTCAGGAAAACGAACCGATGGAATCCTGGAGCAGGTACGTGAGCTTGCTGTTCCGATATGGGATGTGGTCGCAGTGCTCTGACAGGGCTCCAAGCACATCTGCGAGGGCAGCCAGGCTCCGGTTGATGAAGGAGGTCTCCTTCAGTGCCAAACCAGTCACCCCAGACACTGCTGGACAGTAGGAAAGCAGCAACCTGTGAGCAGGGACTCAGGACAGGAGCAAGGCAAGCAGGGATGGTTCTTGGGAGGCACCGTGCAACCTGCCCAGTTTCTGTCAGTCACTAAGATGAATTCCCCATTTGGGTAACTGCACAGACTGCAGCGTGAGGGTAACAAGGGTCTAACATGGCCTTCTGTGCCAGCTCATGGTCTACTCCGCGTTGCCCGTTGCTGATGCTGACACTCACCTCAGGGCAGTTCTGGTTCCTGCTCACCTGCACACTCACTGCCGGCCAAGTCCACAAGCTGCAGCTTGGCCAGCACCTGCTCAAATTGGTCTGCAGACTCCACTGGAACAGTGCGCGGAGATGAAGCCCGGGGATGGGCAGTCCACCAATTCCCTGCCCCTGCTTTCTTCTGGAGGGAAGCCTGGCTGGACTGTGGGGCTGGGGCCAGGAGAACAACAAACAGAAAATTCATAAGGGTCTGCTCAGTGTGAGAACTGCAAATCTGTCCTTCAGACCCGACTTCTCGTTCACTTGTGAACACAGAGTTAAGAAGTAGGGTAACAGCTCTTGCTCCTCAGGGGCGGAGGAAACAGAGCATGTTCCACTAAGGATGGTTGAGCCAGGGCCTCTGTGCCCCAACACTGAATGATGCTGTTGGAGCAATGCTGGCAGTGGTGTGAACTAAGACCTCAGCCCGAGCCGCTGTCCTTGCTCAATACGCTCTCGCAAACTCTGCAAAGGGCTCCTCATCTTGAGGGGTCCATCCATCTTGCTGTGTGCTGTCCCCAAACAAGTCTCTTAGAAACACTTTTTTTTAGGCTTAATCAATCTGTCCTTGTTGTGCAAAACAGAAAACAAACCTCCTTTTGTCATAAAAGAAAGCAGAAACCAGAGGTAGTTTTACTACCCAAAGGACAGCCTATGACACAGCGTGTCTGGGAATGCCTTGGCGACAGCTGGGGCTCTCTAAGCATCATGAGGCAGGGGCTGCCCGAGCCCTGCAGCAGTCAGGTCCAGCAATCAGCTGTGGCTAGTTGTAGCTGGACTGTTACTTAGATCTAATAGATTATGCTGCCTTTGCCAGGCTCTTCCCTGGCAGAATCCAAGATGGAGAATGTCTGTCTACACCGGCCTTCCATGTGAGTGAGAACCATGCCCAGGGCTCTGCAGTCCTGCAGTGTATGTAGGGTGCTCAGAGCAACAGCAGTCTAGCATGGCATGAGAGGCCATGGGCTTGCTGTATTTAACTGCTGGAGTGAATCTCATACGCTCAAACTCTGCATGATTCAGATGGCCAACCCCTAAGCTGCTGCCTTCACAGTCACTGGCTTTTTACAATGTGGGCTTTGTCTTCACATGTGTGTGGGGGTGTGTTATATGCTAGACAACCCTGAAGTCTAGACAACCTACCCTCAGTGCCATGCTCACATCGATACCAAGAGAGACGCCATGGTGGTTTTCCGGGAGTGACTTCCATACCTCGAGCTGACCGGCCACAAGTGTCAGCTTACCAGTGCTGCCCAAGGAGGAAGCTGTGGTCAGCGTTGCCGTGACAACCAGGTGAGCTCGGGAAGAGTTCTGGTGCACCAGGGTGGGGTGCTGCACTCTGAGCACTCTGAGTTTCACGCCTCTGTGGATGAGCCCCACAAACTCCACGGCACTGGTGACAGACCTGGCAGAGGACACCCCCATTCTGATGTGGGGAGGGAAAGCTGCTCTGTGCGCAGGTTAGCCTAAACTCACTCAGCCGACAGACAGCTCCCATGCCAACTAAGTGTGTCAAGTTCAACACAGACTGGCAAACCTGGAGAAATAGACCTGTAATTACAAACGCTCCGCAAATACAGTAGGGGGATCCCAAGTTCAAGGCTAGCCTGGTCTATGCAGTGAGTTCAAGGCTAGCACTCCGTGAACAGCTTCCTAGGTCAGCAGCACTGGCTCCAATCCACGCGGGGCTGGGAGTGCACTGCTGTAAGGTTAAGGGCCTATCTTGTGGGGGTGCAACTCACCTGCAGGTCAGCTTGGGTCCCTCTGAACGTCCCTCCTGAGTTGTCGCTGCCTGGCACTTAGCCCCAGACATCACTGTAGAACCGTCTTTGGCCAGAAGGTCAAAAATGTTGTTGTTATAAATTTCTACTATGGAAACATCAACCTTTGGGCTTCTTGAAGGGTTTTCTGACATGAGCCTAGGAGAAACACACGAATTTAGGAATCAAGGAAACTCAGTGGCTCCTCACAGAAAGTGTTCTGAGAAAGACTCTTGAGGGCAGATGGCTGCAGACCCAGGAAGCAATCTTGAGAACAAAGCTACCTCATAGGAGCTGTCCGTCACCAGCTACCATAGCAACAGCGGCCTTTGGTATTGGGCACCCACCATGGGAAGAGCTGTGAGGGGCCTACACCTGCCCTTTGTCACTCACAGGTGCCCCAGAGCAGCTGCAGGCCATAGCTTCTGAGCAGCTGTCCCTCTCAAGGTTGGTTTAATTAAAGGCCTATTTGGTGAGGAGATGACTGGGCCATAGTTCCTGCTTTATATACAATCCATCCACTCACGCTTCTTCTAACAGATGCCTTCTAGAGGCTGCCTAGGAACCACCTCAGGCTCACAGAAGGCAACTTCATGACTTACAGATAAAACAGCAAAGCCCAACATGGCAAAAGTGGCTACCAACACTTGCCTTTCTTCTTCCCTCCCCTATGTTCTCCCAGCTGCTACTCCAGGCTGGGATGGGATCTCAGGAACAGGGATCAAATGCACTGTTACTGGGCTTTGGGGGAGTCTTGGCTGCCCTGACCCCCGAACATAGAGACAACTGGCCTTGACACCTGCATCTGCTCAGGAGGCTGTTCTGAGAACAGGGATGAGAGGGGCCGTCCGGAGGGATGCTTCAGGTCAAACAGCTGGACTGAGAACAGAGCTGTCACGTCCTTGTCCTACACAGGCTGGGAGACAGCATGGCGTATACAGAACATGGCCTCACCTTTATCCCATTCCTTCCTCAGACTGTGTCTGAGTATCAAATAAGAAAATAATACCTAGGATTTAATTCAAAAGACTTTTCCAAACACCGAACAAGCTATTGGCGAAAGTCTACAAACTGCTGAAAACTACAGTCTGAAGACTTAGCACTCAGTGAGCATTTTGTGGTGAGCTGTGAGTCCTGTCTCCCACAGTGTAGGCGCTAGGGTGAAGTCTGTGAGGGTACCAAGGCTAGATCTCTGTGTTCCTACCACACACCTATGTGTTCCTACCACACACACCTATGTGTTCCTACCACACACCTATGTGTTCCTACCACACACACCTATGTGTTCCTACCACACACACCTATGTGTTCCTACCACACACCTATGTGTTCCTACCACACACCTATGTGTTCCTACCACACACCTATGTGTTCCTACCACACACACCTATGTGTTCCTACCACACACACCTACGTGTTCCTACCACACACACCTACGTGTTCCTACCACACACCTACGTGTTCCTACCACACACACCTACGTGTTCCTACCACACACCTACGTGTTCCTACCACACACACCTATGTGTTCCTACCACACACACCTATGTGTTCCTACCACACACCTATGTGTTCCTACCACACACACCTATGTGTTCCTACCACACACACCTATGTGTTCCTACCACACACACCTATGTGTTCCTACCACACACCTATGTGTTCCTACCACACACACCTATGTATTTCTGTGTTTCTGATCATTGCTTGACATGTAGGAAAATGTGGCGTGTGTGTGTTGATAAAAATGACAAGGGAGACTAATTCAGAAGGATCAGTGCTACCAGCCAGGGTTAGAAGGGAGGGAGAAGGGTACAGGATAGACAGATACCCCAGAGAAACATTCTCTGACACCAGCCCGGTGTTGCAGTTCCATATGTGGGTAGAACAGACAGCTTGTGTATGTGGAAGTAACCCACACATACCCTGAACCGACTGCTCTCAAAGTCTAGTCTCGAGTGGGGAGGAAATAAAGAGCAGAACACTCTCCATATTTCAACTATGATTATCCTTGTGAATGAGGGAAGTCAGGCAAGGGGGCACTGGGTCCCAGTCCATCTCGCAACTAGAAGAAAAACTTCCAACTCTGCCAGGTTCGTTCTGACCCAGTCTGTCACTGTGCCCCAGGGAGAAGACTTCAAACAGGGCCAGATGCAAGGGCATGTGGCTCTAGAATGTCCCACAGAGGTTTGTGTCCCACAGAGCCTCGTGTGTTTGAACGGCTGGTCCTCGGCTGACAGAGCCATTCTGGAGGGTATTGCCTGGTTGGCAGATGGAGGCTAACAGGGTGGGCCTTGGGAATTATACCACAGCCCTGCTCTGGCCTAAGCTTCCTGCTTCCTGATGGGTGTCATATGAAGTCATTACCAGTTCGTGTTGTCCCAGTCACCATGCTTTTCCCCACCCTCTGAACCATGACCCCAAATCAGTCCTTCTTCCCTTAAGTTGTCCCTGTCAATCTGTCACAGGGCTGAGAAAGTAAATTAAACACACCCTCCAGGAGTGAGGGGCCTCAAACATTGCTCAGGAATGGGGCCCACTGTGATCTGATTTCTACATAGTCCCCTGAGTTTCCTAACAGCCAGCAGGGCTTCCCAGGGCTCCTCGGTCCGAAGCCTTGGGATCCTTCCGGGCTTCTTTGCTGTCCTGATCGCCGACTATAGTCTGAGTAGAGATGTGACCCATTGCATGCAAATGCCTGCTTTAGACTCAACGTGAATGCACCCTAAAATGCAAGGTAAGGCCGAGGAACAGACAGACTAACCTTTAAGCAAGCACATGGCTCACGGGAGTGATAAAATAAGGGTGTTTTGAAGAAAGGTTTCTCCATCTACAAAGATTCTGTTTCAGAATACTATTGCCAGATAAGAGGCAAGCCTGCAGGGGCAGAGCTTACCTATCAGGGAAACCCACTGCTGGATGTGTAGACAGGAAGCCTCCAGGAGCCGAGAACATCTACAGATCCTGGGTCCCTCAACCCTCAGTCACTAAGGTCAGTCCTGAGTCAGCTTGAGACAGACCCCTTGTCACTCAGACTGCCCTTGTTCTATCTCTAGCTTGCCCCGCTGGGAAGAGGCAGGATAACACAAGATGTCTCCAGCAGATGGCATGCACAAAGCAACCCACAGGCACTCTTTCCACATGGAGGGAAGTGTCTGGCTGAGACAACCCCCTGAAAAGGGTGCCCTCAAATTCTGGTATTTTCCAGCAAGTTAAAGACACGACGCCCTGTGGGTGTGAGTGCAGGTTCCGAGGAGCCACTCTCACCATCAAAGCTACATGTCTGAGATTTGCAGAGGGTCTGCTCCTGCAGCACAGTGACCCAGGCTGGCAAGTCTCCTGGAAACAGCCATGAACAGTTGAAACTTAGCAAGGATTTTGCAACATTCTTTCCAGAAGCAGTTAGTACATGCAAACTGATAAACACATCTGTTCATGTGCACAAATATTTAATGAACACTGGTTTGCACAGGCGGAGGTGGGAGTTCTTACGTCATTGTCTGGCTCTGGCCTTTAGGAGAAGGGCAACGCAACAAGAGGATCCCAGAAACAAAGCCACTGGCAGGGGTAGGAGCCCAAAGGAACTGGCCTCGCTGCTCTGTGGGGTTGCTGCCTGCAGGGAGACGTGCAAGGTCCAGCCTCAGGCCTAGGTAGAGCAGGAAAGTGGCCTCCCAAAGTGCTCTGATGACAGCCACAGAGGCAGGTCACAAGGCTCACAATCCAGGCTGTCCACTAAGACTACTGAAGACCACCTTTGGGGTTTTCTTTCTAGGATGACTTTGGCTGGTAAAATGATAAGCAGTAGCAGCCGGCACCCTCCTTGGATGTGCTAATGGAACAGGGGAGCCTCTGATGGGCCGATACACAGGAACGTCTGCCATAGCTGAAGCATAGGCTCCCTAGGTCCTCTCTCCCCAAACACAACCTTATCTACCCCTCTCCTGCTGTCTTACTCATAGCTTGCTCAGGAGCTTCTTCCCTAACAACAGACCTCCCATGTAAACCCATGGTGAGAACTGTGTCAAGAACACCCACAGGCGAGGATCTGCTGCTAGGGATGGTCCAACGGCCTCTGACACCTTCCAGCCCCGGCTTGTTCTCTCAGGACTCAGTGCCCACCAGCCTCCCCTGCGGCCTCACTACACGGTATACCTGAAGAGTTCCTCAGCTGCTCTGGGGATGATCCCCAAGTCGTCACGAGCACCCGATAGCAGCGCAGAGTCATCCTCAGAGTGGGGCCCCAACATGGTGTAGCTTTTCCCACTTCCAGTCTGTCCGTATGCCATAATGCATACATTATACCTGAAATCAAAACCAATTTAGTCACAGACTATAAACAGAGTCTGGGAGTTTCTACCTGGGCACACACGTCTCCTTGGAGAACCTCCCATTAAGCTAATCAGCTAACGTACCACCTCAACAGGCCCTCGTCTCAGCCTCAGAGAGCCTTTCCCAGGGCTTGGCCCCTCTGCCAGCCTGTGGCTGTTGTCAGCTTCTACCCTGTCAACTCCCAATGTGGTTGCAGGGTGACTTTATATAAATTCATGGCCCTACATCAGGCTTGTGACTTTATATAAATTCATGGCCTTACATCAGGCTTGTTAGACCTGACTGGTGTAAAGCTTGCACGGTTTCCTCGGAAGGGGTGCATAACGAGTCCAGCACTGAACCTTAAGTTATGCTCAGAACAGCCACTTCTTAAATATTCCCTCTTTTAGTTCATTTTATTTATTTACTTTGTGTACTGTCAGGGATGGGGCTGCTCCATGGTCTATGTGTCACAGCACACGTGTGGAGGGCAGGGATCACTCCATAGTCTGTGTGTCACAGCACACATGTAAAGGTCAGGATTCGCTCCATGGTCTATGTGTCACAGCACACGTGTGGAGGGCAGGGGTCACTCCATGGTCTGTGTGTCACAGCACACGTGTGGAGGGCAGGGGTCACTCCATGGTCTGTGTGTCACAGCACACGTGTGGAGGGCAGGGGTGGGGCTGCTCCATGGTCTATGTGTCACAGCACACGTGTGGAGGGCAGGGATCACTCCATGGTCTGTGTGTCACAGCACACATGTAAAGGTCAGGATTCGCTCCATGGTCTATGTGTCACAGCACACGTGTGGAGGGCAGGGATCACTCCATGGTCTGTGTGTCACAGCACACGTGTGGAGGGCAGAGGTCACTCCATGGTCTGTGTGTCATAGCACACATGTAAAGGTCAGGGGTCGCTCCATGGTCTGTGTGTCACAGCACACGTGTGGAAGTCAGGAGTAGGGGTCACTCCATGGTCTGTGTGTCACAGCACACGTGTGGAGGTCAGGGGTTGCTCCATGGTCTGTGTGTCACAGCACATGTGTGGAAGGCAGGGGTGGGGCTGCTCCATGGTCTGTGTGTCACACACACGTGTGGAGGGCAGGGGTGGGGCTGCTCCATGGTCTGTGTGTCGAAGCACACGTGTGGAGGGCAGGGGGCACCTTGCAGGAGCTGGTTCTTTCTTTCCACCATATGGGTTTAAAATTACATTTAAGTTTTCAGGTTGTCTTGACTGTAAGGAAGCATCCTGACCCTACTACCCAATGCGTACTACAGATGTTACCAACAGCCTCTTGGAATCACCTGGTAATGTACTCCTCACCTTAGAAATTCTGACTCAATTATCTCAACTCAGACATATCTGTTTAGCCTAGCCAGTTAAACAAGTAAGTGTCACTCTCTGATAAGTGGTTTGTGAAAGCGTTCTGAAAGATGGACATTTGTGTCACATCTGCAGCCACCGGAGAGAAAGCAGAAGCCTCCAAGGCTTTCCACTCCATTCTTCGGGGATCGGGGAACCCGAGGAGAACAGGGCAGGGCAGGTCTCTCAGCCACCAGGTGCTTTCCATCTAGAGCTGCAAAGACTCAGTGTGGACCACATTCCACACGTCCACCACCATCCTGAAACCTTCCTAGGCACTGTCCCAAATGTGGTGGCTTTTGCTTGCTTGCAACCAGCAGACAGGCTCCTTGGGGGGATGGGGGGGAAGCCACTGGACATGTGGAGCTGAAGGAAGCCCGGTACTTGAAAAGACGCCATGGGCTGGGTTTAAGATGGAAGAGCAAGTCTGGTAGGTGGTCTAGCCGCAATGCCCACTCCACTTAGTTAAAGGATGAACACGGACCAGAACCTCCCTGTCATTTCTGGTGAAGGGTCTATTTTGGACAGATGTAAAAACAGATCCAAAGCAGGAAATGCTTCCCAGATGAGGGAGGATTGGCCCATGGACAAGGGCAGTGGAGAAGATGTGGGTGTCCCAAAGTGGACCTTCCTCTGCTGATTGCCAGGTCTCTGGCCACACAGCACCCTGGCTAAAAGCAACTGTGTGGTGATGGCAGCTTCTACTTTGCTAGGAAAGTCTTCTTCGGGAAGTTTGAGAGAGACTTCTCTACCAAAAGAGTTCCTTAGAATGCCCTCAGGTTCCGGGTCTTGGCTCAGAGAGCTGCAGTGCAGTCTCTGCCCCACAGCTCTGATGCCTGCCTGTAACCAGCAGCGGTGCTTTCCAAGATTAGAAGCTTGGTTCTTAAAGAAAACAGCTCCCAATCAGACACTGTTGCCCTCAATCACTTCTAAAGTGGTTAAGAATTTAAAAAGAACCTGGGTAGAATGTTCTGCAGATGCCTCTTAGGTCCACTTCATCTGTGACGTCATATATCCTAACATTTTCTTCTTTGTTTCTGGTCTGGATGACCTGTCCACTGATAAGAGTGAGTTATTGAAGTCACTGACTGTTTTCTGTGTTGGGGTTAATCTGAATACTTGTTCAAAGTGTTTGTATGAAGTTGGGTACATCCAAGCTTGGTGCATATGTTTACTATGTAATGTTCTCTTAGTGGACATCACATAGTGACCTTTATTTCTTCCAATGAGTTTTGGCTTCTAATTTGTCAGGTATTAGAATAACAAGATTTAACCAGATTGTGATGGTACATGCCTTTAATCCCAGCACTCATGAGCAGGCAGCTCTCTGAGTTCGAGGCCAGCCTGGTCTACAGAGGGAGTTTCAGGACAGCCAGGGCTACACAGAGAAACTCTTCCTTGAAGAACCAAAGGGAAAAAAAGGATAGCAACACTTGCTTGCTTCCTGGTTCTGTTTGCTTGGAATACTCTTTTCCATCTTTTACCCCAGGGTGCTATCTGTCCTTGAAGGTGAGGCAGCATCAACAACAGAAACATCTCCTCTTTTCAATAAGCTAGCTTGCTTTTTTTGGATGAGGAATTGAAGTTATGAACATTCAAGGCCATTATTAAAAGATGTGTATTAATTATTGCCCTTTCATTGTGTGTGTTTGTTTCCTTAGGCCTACTCTGCCTAACAACCATGCAAGCACCACGTGTTTTCCACTTGTGGGTGTGCCCATCCTTCGGTCTGGCACTAGACACTCCTTCCAGGAGTCTCTGTAGGGTTGGCTTGCTGTTCATAAATTCCTTTAACCTGCTTTTGTTGTGGAGTGTTTTTCTTTCTCCTTCAACTAGGACAGACAGTGTTGCAGGGCATAGCAAGTAGCCGGGGCTGGCCATCTGTGGTCTCTCACTGTTCCAATGCCTCTTGGCTTTTAAAGTTTCCATTGAAAAGTCAGTTGTGGCCTTAAACAGGACATGTATACCACCCCTCTAAGGCTCAGGGGGCACACTGGGAGAGAAGACAAAAAGAATGGAAGAGTTTGAAGATGGGGGTGGGGCTGTGAGCTGTTACCTTCTGAGCATGGCATCCATTACAATCACATATTCACGGCAACTACAGTCGCCTACAGCAGGTCTACACGAGACTGTGCCTTTCAGCCAGCAGCAGACATGAGAGCGGCTCACTGGGCCCTACCCTCTCTGCTGAACTACTGGTTACTGGTGGATTCAGGGGCAGGCTGAGTCCTTGTCTTCGGCTGTGGGCCCAATGCTAAGTCCACCAGCTCCATTGGCTAGTTCCAAACCTACTGCTATACAGACGGACCCGGTTAAACTCAGCAGATCACACACAAAACAACATTAACGTGAGACAGAGACTTAGGGAAATAGGTGCTAACAGAGGTAAGGGGGCAGTGTGGAGCAAGATTGATCAGGATGTAGTGAGTGCGTGTGTGCGTGTGTGAGTGCGTGTGTGTGTGCGTGTGTGCGTGTGTGAGTGCGTGTGTGCGTGTGTGCGTGTGTGCGTGTGTGTGCGTGTGTGTGTGTGTGTGTGTGCGTGTGTGCGTGTGTGCGTGCGTGTGTGCGTGTGCGTGTGTGCGTGTGTGTGTGCGTGTGCGCGTGTGCGTGTGTGCGTGTGTGCGTGTGTGCGTGTGTGTGCGTGTGCGTGTGTGTGTGTGTGTGCGTGTGTGTGTGTGCGTGTGTGCGTGTGTGTGTGTGCGTGTGTGTGTGTGTGTGCGTGTGTGTGTGTGTGCGTGTGTGCGTGTGTGTGTGCGTGTGTGTGTGTGTGCGTGTGTGCGTGTGTGTGCGTGTGTGTGCGTGTGTGCGTGTGTGTGTGCGTGTGTGTGTGTGTGTGTGCGTGTGTGTGTGTGCGTGTGTGTGTGTACGCACGTGTGCACGTGCACACCTGTGTGAGATGTTAGGTTTAATTAGTAAAGACAAGATAAGATGAATCTGGACGACTCTAAGGCCTCACGTGGGGAAGAAAGCTGCTCCTCCAGGCTGACAGCGAGTATGGTGGCTGCAGCACAGCTCGGAGCCCAGGGGCTCACCTGATGCTAGTCCTCACTCTGCTCTGCTCCAGACAGAGTCTCCACTGACAGACACCGAGTCACACTGGGGCACCATCAGCTCGCCTGCCACTCTCCCAGCCCCTGAAGTTCCAGCCATCCTATGGCCAGAATGAGGGGCCTTATGTTTAAATGCACTGTGGCCCTGGCCTTCGGAATATCTGAACTCACCCATCCAGAAGGGATATGAGGAGGGGGCGCACATCTCCAAACACCGCTGCCTGAGGTTCTGCTGGGCCGTACACTCTGGGAGTAAAGAGAGTGCCACGTTAAAGAGGCAAAGCACCAACGTAAACACAGAGCTCTGGGGAGAGAACGTCCTACAGCTCCCCATATGGAATGCTGTCAGACAAGAGTCAGATGAGAGCTTGCCATCTACAGAGCCTGCTGTCTATAGAGCTTGCCATCTATAGAGCCTGCTGTCGTCTATAGAACCTGCTGTTGTCTATAGAGCCTGCTGTCTACAGAGCCTGCCGTCTACAGAGCTGCTGTCTACAGAGCTGCTGTCTATAGAGCTGCTGTCTATAGAGCCTGCTGTCTATAGAGCTGCCGTCTACAGAGCTGCTGTCTACAGAGCTGCTGTCTACAGAGCCTGCTGTCTACAGAGCTGCTGTCTATAGAGCCTGCCGTCTATAGAGCCTACTGTCTACAGAGCCTGCCATCTATAGAGCCTGCCGTCTATAGAGCCTACTGTCTACAGAGCCTGCTGTCTACAGAGCCTACTGTCTACAGAGCCTGCCATCTATAGAACTTGCTGTCTACAGAGCCTGCCATCTATAGAGCCTGCCGTCTGCTGCTTCTCAAGCTGGCAGGGGTTAAAGGAGAGCAACGGCAAGCTGCTCACATTACATTAGGGTGTGGGGAGAGCAGGGGTGAGGAAAGAGGGCAGACCCTTGGAAACAGACAATCCTTGGTTTGGGCTCTTCTATCCTGTGCCCTGGCCTTGTGACCGGAAGGGCCACAAGGTCCATGGCAACTCTGTGGAAGCTCTGTTGGTCCTGTCCCCTCTAGACAGAGGTTCTCGACCTGTGAGTTGTGACCCCTGGGGTTTCAAATGGCCTTTTCACAGGGGTTGCCTAAGGTCATCAAAAAACACAGTCATTACAGTCCATAACAGTAGCAAAATTACAGTTATGGAGTAGAAATAAAATAATATTATGGTTGGGGTGGGAGGGGTCACCACAACATGAGGAGCTGAATTAAAGGGTTGTGACGTTAGGGAGGTTGTGAACGGCTGCTCTAGAAGCTTCTTGATTGGGGGCTCCATCCTCTCGCTCACTTGCTCGTTGGTCCTGAGGGGCAGGCTGGCAGAACCTGGGTATCTCCAGCTATGGAGGAGGAAGAGGCCTGGTGGGGCTGTAAGCAGAGCCTAGGCACTTGGGTTCCATCTGTCCTGTCTTGCCTGGGGGATACCATGTCATTGAGCCCCATGGCTACTCACTGTTACCCTGACAAAATACTTGTTACACAGACACAGGAATGGGTAGATGAGTCCCACATCTTCCTAAGCCCTATGGAGCTGGTGCATCTGGAAGCTGAACCCAGCTCTGCACTTCCCCTTGAGATGTTCTCACCTTTCAAAGGTATAGGTCTTCTCAGCAGGAGGGCGGCCAGGAAGTACACACCTCACCAGGACTGTTTCCTAACAGAAGAAAAACAGAGTGGCAGATTCAGGCAGGCCTCCGTTAATCAGACAGGTCAAGGCTCAGACAGGTCAAGGCTAGCGAGTGCCGCCCAAGGCAACTCCAGCCACTGCTTGTCTCAGTCCACAGCTTTCCCTGGAACACAGATCGGGCTGTGAGGGAACAATGCTGGTAATAGAGACAGCAGCCAGATGGCCCCCGGGAAGGGACATTTGATACCTGGCCCTTCAGAGATGGGGTCTGCTGATCCCTGACATGACAGCAACGCTGTAGCTGTGGGGTCCAAGGAGCCCATCCTGCTGAGGGTATAGACATCTCAGATGGGGCCCAGGTCCCCGTGAGGCCAGGCAGTCACATTACATAATCACACCTAATACAGGTGAACTGCCTAGTCTTAAGCCACACTGACTTTAGGTCTTTTTGAAGGGAGGGAGCTGAAGAGAGGGTCTATGTAGGCCAAGCTGGCCTCAAACTTCAGACAATCTTTCTGCCTTTGCCTCCTCAGGTCTCCTTTCACTCACAGCCTATGAAGAGAAGCCAAGGCATTCCAGGGGGAAAAAAAGGCAATAGCTTCCTCCAGCTAAAGACAAGCCTGGGTTGTTCCTAGCCCTAACACAAATATGAATTCACAAATAAACAGGGGAGTGGGGAAAAATAAACAATAAAGTCAGGGAGACAATCCGCGGACATCTGACTCTCCACCTGAAGGGTAAGACCGGGTGGGGGAGAGGCTTCCAGAATAATGTATAAGGGGAGCTGATGGAAGGGTTCCAAGGGGAGAGAAGGGTTGGCACACAGACTGACTTTCTGATCCAAGCTCAATCCCTGGGCCCCATGCAAAGGTGGAAAGAAAACTGTGCCGAGTTCACACACACAGACACACACACAAATAAAGTTCTTAAAGAAAAATTTCATAGTATGTATGGAGATATACGTAGACATCCATGTGAAAAGTGATGCCTGTTTTGGGAGCAGAGCTTTAAGCTACAGGACCAGCAGCTCTTCACTCTAGACATGGTCATTTGTTATTGTCTACGGCTAAAGGATCCGTGGAGGCAGCAGGAGTACATTGTTCTCCATCCAGTCACCATCATGGCTCCCTGACAACCCCCCCCCAACACACACATAGGGACATCAGCAGGTGTGCCATGATGGCTCCCCTGCTCCCCACCCCCGCACACACAGTGACATCAGCAGGCTCACTGTGATGGCTCCCTGACGACACACACACACACACACTGACATCAACAGGCACCCAGGGCATCTTCAACTATCTCTGCCGTCAGGGCAACACCACAGGCATCCCAGCCATGTAGGCGTGGCTGGTTACATTACAAAAGTACTGTCAAACGATGGCCTTTGGCAACTCGTCTGACAGTAGACGAACTCTGATTGGGCCTACAGAGTCTCTGGACTTGGTCTCTCCTGCCTGCAGTTTCTGCCCTGTTCAGTGTTGTCATGGCTGGCACTCTCCTGTCCTCATACCAGCACCTTGGGCATTCCACACATCACCAGTTAAAGGAGGTAGCAGGTACCTGAAGGAGTGACAAGGAAAGTCATTTCCTGCCAGGCCACTGAGGCCTTGCTTTGAGTCCCTAGGTCAGGCAGTAACTTCAGCCAAGATTCAGGAGCACAGACAGGGTGGGCCAGTCCACAGGACAAGGCTGTGCAGGAGAGGCAGAGCTGGGGTGACAGTCTGTCCTGTCAGAGGACTATCAAATGCCACAGTGGCCTGTGGAGTCACGTGCAAACTTGCACATCTAGGCGGTGGTGCCATCAGGGTGCCATTTCTGGGAGCCCCACTCCTCATAGAGTCCACACACTGTGTAGCCATGGCCACCCTACCAGCTGTGCTCCTGCATACTGTGGTCTATCCCTGAATGGCTCTTAATTCTCTTCCCATCTAGAACCCTGAAACATCGACAGGAGCAGACGCCCCGAAGAAACAAGGGCTGTAGTGTTTTTTTCTAAGATCAGCCTGACGGCTTCCCCGCAGGCTCTCACTGTCCTCCACTGACCTTTACCTCACTGTGGCAGGACATTTTTACCGTCAGCCACAAGTGACTCCAAGGCCCCAGCCTGACACATACCCAGCTATCCTCAAGTGCCCGAGCTTTAACCCTAAAGAAAAACAAGTGAAAATGTTACAGTTTACAATGTCTGTCCCAAACCCTGAGGGACACTATGTTCGGAACACAAGCATCCATGAAAGCTCCCCAGTACCCAGAAGGCTCTTGACCATGTGGAACCATGTGGAACCATGTGGAACCACGTGGAACCATGTGGAACCACGTGGAGCCATGTGGAGCCATGTGGAACCATGTAGAACCATGTGGAACCATGTGGAGCCATGTAGAACCATGTAGAACCATGTGGAACCATGTGGAGCCATGTAGAACCATGTGGAACCATGTGGAACCATGTGGAACCACGTGGAGCCATGTGGAACCATGTGGAACCACGTGGAACCAAGTAGAACCATGTGGAATCATGTAGAACCTTGTGGAGCCATGTGGAACCACGTGGAACCACGTGGAGCCATGTGGAACCACGTGGAACCACGTGGAGCCATGTGGAACCACGTGGAACCATGTAGAACCATGTGGAATCATGTAGAACCATGTAGAACGTTATTCCACAATGGATGCCATGCACAGCAGCAGACACTATCCCAAGAACAATGCTCAATTTTTAGCAAGACAGTTTAAATGCTCTTGCCTGCCTGTGCTCCAAATCTCCCCTTTCACATAACTAAATGTCCCTTATTCACATAAACCAGTGACTTCTGTTGGCTATTTAAATAGGTTTTATTTGTTTTTTTGCCCCAATTTTCACACCCTGGTCCCCTGCAGTATAGAGCTCGTCTGGATGGGAGTCACCAGGGTGACCATGGCCCTTTTCCCAACTGGGCCATGAGAGTCTCTGGACTCACCTGCAAGGAAGCACTTATGCACACATACACACACAGACATACATACAGACAAACACGTGCACGCACACACACAGGTATGGGGACCAAAACTATGTAGGACAGCTTATTCAAAGTGTCATAGGAATTTAGGAATCCAAGTCAGTGGCAGGAAGAACCTCCACTACAGTCAACCGGTGTTTGTTGCAAAGCCAACAAGCTGCTCTCCTGAGTCTTTCAAGTAAGAGGTAGATCAAACAAAAAGTGTAAACAAGCAAGCTGTAGGGTTCTCCAGGACAAGGGCAGCCATGTGAATCTGTTCTTATTTACAGGGTAAGTCGAGAGGTGCTGGGCACTGAGATCACAGGGAGCCAACAGAAACTCAAACTCTTCAGGTTTTAGGAATAAAAATATCATGAAAGCCAAGAGATGCAAGGCCATGAACCAACCACTCACTCACTCACTCAGCAGATAAGATTACATGCAGTCCTAACAGGCAGACCTACTTATTAAACATATTCTGCTGATATGTCTTAAACACAACCCAAAATGCTACAATCAAAGGAAATATCTGACTTTACTGAGTAAGACTTGAAAACACTAAGACCTCCGAAGTGATGAGTGGAATTTGGGCAGGGCCCTGGGAGGTCTGCTAAGGGGTGGTAGAATAAAGAAGCAACACAATCTGATTTCCCCACCAGCTGGAAGAAACCTGCCCAAGGACGTGTTTTTCTCAGTGGATAATTCATGAGGGTTGACCAGAAGGCTGCAGGCTAGAAAGGCTAGAGTAAGGGCTGTTTAGCCACGGCTACTCTGAGAGCTCACCTAAGGAATGAGAGAAAAGGCTAGCAACTTGAGAATGGGATGTCTTTGTATGGGGGTGGGGCTATTGCTTATTTTTGTTTGTTGCTTTTTTGAGACACAGTGTCACTATGTAGCTCCAGGTGTCCTGGAACTCACCATGTGGTCCAGGCTGATGTGGAACTCACAGAGATCTACATGCCTCTGCCTTCCAAGTGGTGGGATTAATGATGTATACCACGGCAATCAGCTGTGGAATGTCTTTAAACCCAAGTCCTGGAGTCTTTTTTTCATAAATCTCCTTTGGCTTGCCTTAGCAATGCTGGTGCTTGAGGCACAAGGTGTGTGGGACAGAACAAAATATACTTTGGGGGCTGATGAGAGGGATCAGAAGTTAAAAGAGCTTGCTGCCAAACTGACAATCTGAGATCTATCCCTGGAACCCATGTCAAGCTGGGAGGAGAGAAGCAACTCCTGCAAGCTGTCCTCTGACGTCTGCGTATGTCACATACAAAACAAATAAATGTAATAAAGATGGCTTTAAAGAAAAGAATTTTAAAGACCTTAAAACTGTTTATTTCCAGAGGCTCTGTTGATTTTTGAAACAACTATTATCATACTTTACCCTTTGTAAAAACAAAAAACATAAGGCCATCAAATCACTGATTAAAACTATTTCCAGTGTTGCTGAGATCTACAATACACCATCTTAAGACTGATTCCTATGAAACAAGCTTTTGGAGCAGACTGTAACGAACAAACTTCGGAGCAGGAACTGGAGAGATGGCTCAGTGGCTAGAAACACTGGCTGCCCTTGCACAGGACCTGGGCTTGGCTCTTAGCACCCACAAGGCATCTCCCAGGCATCTGCAACACCAGTTCTAGAGTATCCAACCCTCTCCTGACCTTTGCAGGCACTGCATACATGCACTCCATGCACACACACACATGCAGGCTAACCACCACCACCACAGAGCAGACAAACAGACTCACGCTGCCTGAGTGGCCACACTGACTCTTGTAACCTAAGGGAATGGTCAGACTAACTCTAACGACCTGAGAGAAGGGCCACACTGACCCATGTGACTCGAGAGAATGGCCACACTAGCTCTTATGACTTGGGAGAGTGACTGCATTAACCCTCATGACTGAAAGAGTAGCCACACTAATTCTCATGACATAGACTAGTCACACTATGCCCATATGTCCTGAGACCTCAAGTTAGACCCAAACCTGCCAGTATTAGGAGTCAGTAGCTTTCTAAATTTATTTTGTGATACCTGCAATAAGTTAGAGTAAAATATAAAACCAACCCGACCCAATATAACTTGATTTTTAGACTTTCTGACGTGTACACTGACATAGAACTGACAGTGTTAGTACCAAGACCCTGCATTAAACATTTAGCCCACTCAATCTTGTATTCTTTTTTTTTTTAAGATTTATTTTATTTTGTACACAGCATTTTGCCTGCATGTATGCCTCCAGGCCAGAAGAGGGCACCAGATCTCGTTACAGATGGTTGAGAGCCACCATGTGTTTTCTGGGAATTGAACTCAGGACCTCTGGAAGAGCAGCCAGTGCTCTTAACTGCTGAGCCATCTCTCCAGCCCTCAATCTTGTATTCTTGTACACACATACTTCTCTTTTTTTGGCCCAGTCTAAACTGAAAACAAAAACCATCTCAATCTACTTGTAAAGCTACCAAGTGTTTCCTCAAAGGACAAGGACTCTTAACACACAACACACATCTCACTCATCATACCTTGTGAGGTAAGCGCCACTTGAAGAGTGGCTGAGCTCGCCTGCTTTCTGTCGCTAGGACGAAAATAACGGACGCGGGTAACGCACCAAGAACTTTGTTTGGATCAGTTTTGTTCAAAGATGAGGTGACCTTGGTGGCTTAACCTTTGTCATAATTCTGCATCACATCATAGTTGGCGTGTGTGCCTGAAAGATCTCATGGTAGGATGAGAAGGGAGAGCCATTCGGGAACAGTTTGTCCCTTTTTATAGCAACCAATTCTTGCTACATAGGCTCCCTCTAGAAGTGACCTAATCACCTTGCAGTAAGCACCATCTTTGTGTGTGTGGGGGGTGTGTGTGTCGCATGAGTGTGTAAGCATGAAGAGATCAAATGAAGACATTAGGTACCTTGGTTCATCACTTTCTTCCTTACCACCTTGAAAAAGGGTCTCACAGAAGCACAGGCTACGAGAATATGCTTGTGTCCCACTGCACACCTATGCTGAGATTATAGCACACTCATACCTGGTTGGTGCTAAGGGTTCATGCTTGCCTGAAAGTGCTCTTACCCACCGAGCCATCTTCCCTGCTCCAGGCCCTGTCTCTTAAAGACTCTACCCATTCCCAATATGCCATTCTGGGACCAAGCTTCCAGCACAAGATCCTTTGGGGGATGTTCATATTCAAACCATGCCAGTTACAGAACTTGCCATCCCAAGCATGCCACTTTGACAGAAGGGTGACTTCTCATTAAAGGCACCTGAGAACAGAGGGCACAAGGACATCTGACCTTTCTTTCCTCATAAAATTTAGAGATGGAAGTTCCCGATCTCTCTTCAAATTTGGAGATGGATACCCTACATAAGCATGGTTTTCTCACTGAAGGGAGGTCAGACTTGGGTAAGCAGCTTTTATATATCATAATATCATACCATACCATATCATATCATATTATTGATTCATGGTCTAGGAAATCATTTATGTTTTTCTAAGTTCCCAATACCCTTTACAACTGTGTCTGAGAAAGCCACATGGAAACCACTGTGTAACTGGAGTCGTATATTATAGTCTCTCCCTCTTCTACTCTATCTTTTTTTTATAATACATATTTATTTGTTAGGAGGCTCTAGGTTCTGGTGTAAAGGTAATCAGTGTGTCTGAAACAATGAGGAGCTTAGAAGCTTTATCATCACCTTGTATTTCAGTTGACTTTAGTCCCGCCCTGAGATCCGTTTTCAGCCCAGCATCTCTCGCAGTGCGTTCTGCATGCTGAGTCATGGTCATTATCTGTGAGACCTCCTTTATCATGGATACAAGGGGCCCAGTACAGTCACCTAGAATTTCCCCAACCCATGAGCACAATACATGTCCAGCCATTACTACCATGAAGTCTGTCTGTAGACAAACCAAGATATCTGAGGAGATTAAGAAAGAGTCAGGCCTACTTCAACTTCAGAATTGTAAAGTCCATAGTTCACTTCACTGCTTTCATATTTTCTCATGACCAAAATCTTAGCACTTGCTTTCTTGGTCTTTTGAATCAGAAGGCCAACACTGGTCAGCATGGCACAAAGAATGAAACCAACGCATGCCCCTTCTATCCGAGTGTAGGGAGCCCAGGACGCAGGGATGTGACGCGGCAATGCCAGCATCTCTGATGTCATTCACTAGGAACTACTTACGTCATTAACAGCATGGACCACTTCTCCAGGGGTGGGGCTGCAGAGACAAGACAGCGGTTATCAGAGCGCTATTGTAGGCCACTTCTTCCTGACACCCAAACTCTACATACTGGCTATCTTCTTACATCTGCTGCTCTATTTCTACACTGTTTGCTGGGCTCTGGGTACTCTCCCCTGATGCTCGGTTCCTGAACCTCTGCTATACACCCCACCTTTCCTTTCACATCCCCACCTTCTGTGTGTGATCCACGCAATAGGTGACCCCCCCGCAATAGGACAGGAATGATAAAGGAAAGCAATGTCAGACTGTGTGCCTACAGGAGCTCAATGCCTACAAGAACCAGGAACCTGAAAAATCAGTATGTTTCAAAACAAAAATTGAAGGAGAATAAGCAACCAGAGAGTAGGTGGAGGTTCTGACCTAGGAGGGAAAGGAACAGCCTAGTGACCCAGCCATACTGGGAACGTCTGCATTGGAACGATTTGGCATTTCCTCTGGAGTGTGGTTTGTAGTGGGGTGACTGAGAAAGCACTTCTGATTGACTCAGTTTGCACCATTTAGACCAAAGATATTGGGGGGGGGGGTGACTTCTATACCCTACAGATGGGCACAGCTGGACAGTGTAACAGAAGCCAGCCTGTGAACAGGATTTGAAAGACACCTTCAGGAGAGCTCACTGCTCTTCAGAACCAAGTCTCACAGGACACCGCTCTTCAGAACTAAGCCTCACAGGACACGGCTCTTCAGAACTAAGTCTCACAGGACACAGCTCTTCTCCAGCCGCAGCTTTGGACAAACAGCCATGGCTAGTGTTGTGAAAGCATCTTATGTTCCATGGCTAGCAGAATGGAAGACTTGAGAAGAAAAGATCTCTGCCATCACTAAGAACAGAGACATTATTTGGGTCTTGGCCATATTGCTTCAAGATGTGTGTTTGAATCCTAGCACCCAGACTAGCCAGTCCAGGGCTTGCATATCTATAACACGTTAGGGATAGGATAGGAGGATGCATGGGGCTCGCTGGGAGCCAACCAAGATGAAAAGTCAAGCTCCAAGCTCAAGGGGAAACGCTACCTCAAAAGAACACGATGAGGAATGACAGAGGAGGATACCCAGCACCTTGCTGTAGCCTGTGTGCATGCACCTATACAAACATGTACATGTGCAACACACACACAGAGATGGCATGTGTCACACTAGGAGTGTGTAATAGAAACAGACACACACACAGAGATGGCATGTGTCACACTAGGAGTGTGTAATAGAAACAGAAAAGTCTCAACTGTTAGGGGATGGGACAACAGGATCCAATGCATGGAGCAGGCCAGGGAGTCAACGCCCACTGCAGACCCAAGGAGACCAGCCTAGCCCAGGGATAGGAGACAAAGAAATGAGAGGATAGGAGCAGACACGGAAGGAAGGAGGCTTTTTAGGAGAGTGGGACATGGGACATGGGACACGGGGCACAGGACATGTCCTGTTGAGCTCAGTCAGCAAGTACTCATTTAGTTTTACACTTACTCCTGTAAGTCAAAAGTATCAACTATCACAACTTGACATTCCTTATCCTTGATGAGAGAAGTCTCTAGAAGGAAGGATGAAGGCATGTCCCCTTTGGAACAACCTGAAGGGAAGGCTAGATGGGGTGGGACCCTGCTACTGGACAGGACAGAGACAGCCCAATGGATAAGCTTGTGCAGACAGATATTCTGGTCACATTGAAAGCTGCTCTCCCTGGGTCTGCCCTGCATCATCAACACGGAGAGCCATCCCAAAAGACAGTTTCACCTCGGCGTCAGGAGCTGCTCCGAGCACAGGGCTGGGAGCACAGGGGCATGCAATTCCTGCCACTACCTGAAGCCTTTCTCTTCCCTTGGGTTGGGATAGACAGAAAGGGAAAGTCTATTACCAGTTCTGGGAAGTCGGACCGACCAGCTCCTCATCAACCGACACAGAGGGACGAATGCGACAGTGGACTCGGATGTTCCCTTTCAGCTCCTACAACAACAAAGAACTCTCAACAACACAGCAGCTGGCTCTGCAGCAGGCTGCCCTGACCTCTGAAGTTTCCCACAGGGTCTCCAGCTTAGTGCTACTCAGAGTTTTTTTATTCAACCTTAACAGATTTGTTCCTTAAGTAGCAACAAAAATCCATTTCCTGATATCAAGAACTAACTCTCTCAGGCATTTTAGGAGGAATTTCAAGAATTTGGCTTGTGGTCTGTGCCCTGACCCTCCAGGGGATCATCCAGATGACAATATGATTTACTACCTAGAACACAACAAAATGAAGTGACCTGTGCTCACAGCACACAGCCTCCTCCAGGTCTTTGACACCTGGGGGATTGCCTTGAAGCATTCCATCCATCTTCTACAAGGTACCCAGAGCATCCTGAGCTCAGCTGTGATGTCACGGCTTTCTAGCCATTCACTCAGTTCAGTCCCACTGCTGTCCCGAGGTACCTGGAGCCCGCAGAATCTGGCTGGTTTCTTTCTTCCGATGGAACCACTGCAGTTCCTGACCCAGCAGGCCTCCAGTTAGCACACCCTTGGAGCCCTCCCTGGCTTGCCAGCTTTGACTCACATAGCTGACTCAGGCTGGAAACAACCAGCCAGACCCAACAAACCCGGTAACCAGGCATCCTTGTAGTAATAAGGGCAGCGGGGCTGCATCCCCAGCACCCGGCCGCCCCTACGGCTAGCTTTACCCAAAATAATTACACGGACACTGTATTCTTTTAAACACTGCTTGGCCCATTCTCTTCTAGGCTAATTCTCACATATTAATTTAGCCCATTTCTAATCATCTGTGTATGGCACCCCAAGGTGCGCTTACCAGGAAGATTCTAGCCTATGTCCATCCTGGGTCGGAGCTTCATCCTGGGAGCGGGGCATGGCGTCTCTCTCAGGCGTCTGCTCCCGAGAGGAGAGCTGTCGAGTCTGACCTCACTTCCTCTTCCTCCCAGCGTTCCGTTCTGTTTTCTCCTCCCACCTATCCTCTAACCGATAAAATGGGCCAAGGCAGTTCCTTTATTAGCCAATGACCTTCCTCCATCATTTCCCCTTTTTCAGTTTAAACAAAAAAAGGCTTTAACTTTAACATAGCAAAATTACATATAACAAAACAGTTATCAAGTAAAAGTTACAATAATCTTTATCATAACTAAGGAAAACTATAACTAACTATTCTTAACTCCATCAAAGACTCCAGAAAGATACAATACTACCTAAGCAAACAAGAAAAAAGCAACTTTTAAAACTCTAGAAATGACAGAGACATCTTGCTGCCTGGACAGTCACCCAGAGTTCCTCTGTACCATTGGGGCATCCATCTTCAGCCTTCAGGCCCAAGGTATCCAGCAGACATTTCCATAAAGCAGGAAAATTCAAAGTCAGTTCAGTCACTATCTGTTGTGTCCTGCAGAATGTCTCGCAGACTCTTTCAAAATGAATCAGGAACCCCGAAAGATCATCTCACCTTAGGCAAGTTCAGTAGTCCTCTCTCTGTGGGTTCTCTGTGTCCAGTTTATGCAATCGTCCAGACAAGAACAGTTTCTTGCCCCAATGGCTATCAAACACCATAACGAGCCTCTTCGATGCCCATCTTCCTCTTGAAGTAGATTGGTGCTGCCAGGAGCAGAGTGTCTCAGTGTCATGAAAGTCCTCAGTTATTAAAACATTAGATGTCCTATTCTGTAATCTTTGAAAGACATGAAGAATGTCTATCTAAAATATATCTCTATATATCTAGAAAATCTAACTAACATGACTACAAGCTTTACTATTATCAATGATTATCCATTAACAACCTATATTTCTTAATTATACAGTACATATTTAAATGAACTACACAATCACAATACCTTAATCAAAATCAGAAACACTTATATATATATAACAAAATTGACCTTAAATCTCTATCAATAAAGCAAAATCAATACTAATGTAAATTATTCATATCTATATCATATCCCCCTTTAAATGTAAAAGGACGTTTATAAACCATATTTGGGAACATGGGCGCAGTTTTTTCTCTCCAAACTGCTTCCTGCTGAATGGGGGCGTCGTTAATTAGGTCTTTCATGGTATAACCTGTGTGCTAGTTTCATCTCAGTTGGCAGTTGAGCGAAGCAATTTTCTGAAGATGTTCACTGCAACCCTTCAGGAGGGCGTGGTCCATCATACCAAATCGGAATAGAAGAAATGAACAGCATCTCATCCTCTGTGAAAACAAAATAAGAAACTCCTTTCCAAAGTATCATATCCTTAGATCCAAATTCAAAATATCTATGTTGGATTAGTTCAGCAGCATTTATAAACAAATATCTTTTAGCAGCTGTTGCTCCTTCCTCAGCATTCAAATAATTCAAAGAGAGCATAATAGCATACAGTATCAAAATTCTCTGTGTATTTTCCATCTTTGTGCAGCTTTGTTTTAACCTCTATTTTGTTTATTTTTACTTTTAACTCTTTGCTTTTTGAGACAGGTTCTCTGTATCTTTGACCTGAAGTAACTCTGTAGACCAGGCTGTCTTTGAACTCTCAGAGATCTGCCTGTCTCTGCCTCCCAGGCATTGGGATTAAAGGTGTACACTACTACACCTTGAACTCACAGAGATCTGTTTGTCTCTGCCTTCTAGGCACTGGGATTAAAGGCATGTGCTACCACACACAACAACTCTCTTCCTTTTTTTGTTTTTTACTTTAAGAACTTCAACTTTTAGTCTGCATATATTTTTAACACACTTTAAACCATTTAGAAAATTTCTCTGTCTTTGAATCTCTCTTTACTGTATATCTCTCTGTTTTTCTGACCACACGAGTCTTTAATTTACCAAGCAATATCAGTAGGATTAAAGGCGTGGCTTTGCCGGCTGGATCCAGCCCATTCCTTAGCTTTCCAGCCTCATGGCTGAGGTACTGGCTGTAGCCAGCAAGCGAGCTTCAGCAGCCTGTGCTTGCAAACCACACAAACCACCTACGTAAAAGAGTCAGAGTTTGTCCTGACAGGACAGCCCAGAAAGCCGGCATTTTTAAACGGCGCAGCTTTTTTCCTGCTACGGCTGAAAACCGAAAATCATGCGTTCAGCTTTTCGTCAACACTGTTCAAGTGTTTCGTGGCAGGACTTCTTAATAAGCTGCAGGGTTTTGCAGCTAAAGCTGAGTCAGGAAGCCTCTCTTAGATGAGGCGCTTGTTTGCCTCTGGCAAGCAGAGTAGACCTGAGAACACAGCGAGTCTAGTTGCCATCAAACAAATCATAGCACTTTACTCCAAATGCTCTATTCAAAAGCTCTGTCTCCCGCAGGAGTCAGACAGAGATCGCAATGGAGGCACAGCCCCGGGAAGTAGCGCTTTAAAATGACACAGCGTTTTTTCTGCTACTGTTGCCGAATCAGGAAATCTCTCTACAGCACGCCACCAACAAACAGCAAAAATCTGTGTTAAACTCTCTCTCCCTTATTTTTAAGCCTTCTCAGGTTTTTTAAGTGGGTTTAGTTCATCACGTGGGGCGAGAAATTGTTACTATCAAGACAACATGCTTTACTCTTTCCCAAGCTTTTTCAGGCTTTCTGTGGATTTAGTTGTCCACGTTGGGTGCCAATCTGTAGTAATAGGGGCAGCAGGGCTGCATCCCAGCACCCGGCCGCCCCTACGGCTAGCTTTACCCAAAATAATTACACGGACACTGTATTCTTTTAAACACTGCTTGGCCCATTCTCTTCTAGGCTAATTCTCACATATTAATTTAGCCCATTTCTAATCATCTGTGTATGGCACCCCAAGGTGCGCTTACCAGGAAGATTCTAGCCTATGTCCATCCTGGGTCGGAGCTTCATCCTGGGAGCGGGGCATGGCGTCTCTCTCAGGCGTCTGCTCCTGAGAGGAGAGCTGTCGAGTCTGACCTCACTTCCTCTTCCTCCCAGCGTTCCGTTCTGTTTTCTCCTCCCACCTATCCTCTAACCGATAAAATGGGCCAAGGCAGTTCCTTTATTAGCCAATGAACTTCCTCCATCACATCCTGTAACCAAAAGACTGGATTCCCTTCAGAAAGCCTTGGTTCCACCCCTCACTCCCTCTCCCCCACAGAAAAACACTCAGGGAAATGTGAGGACCATTAGTACACCAGTAACTGTGGTAGGAAAGACTCACACGGAAAAGCAGCCCTGGAATGCTTCAACAAGGTACGACTAGGGGATAGGTAAATGAGAGACCAGGGAGAGGAGGTGGGACCCAACCAACCCATACATACAGAGTATAGGTACCACCCTAGAAAGGGGGTAGGGAGGATGGGATGGTCAACACTTGGGCAGAGGAGTCCAGCAGTCAAGATGCTACAACTAAAGCTGAAACCATTGCCTGCATTTGTCTGGAAGTCATCAAGGTGGCCTAATGATATCCATAGCTTGTGGGATAATCTTTTTGTACACTGTGGAGATGTATCTCAGCCTAAGGCACCTTCTGATTGGTTTAATAAAGAGCTGAATGAACAATAGCTGGGCGTGAGAGACTAGGTGGGACCTCCAGGAAGAGAGGAATTTGGGGAGAATCTGAGGCACTGGGGATTTTGCCAGAGAGACACACAGGGAGTCAGATGTACAGAATGGAGGAGAGTAAAGAGCCACACGGCAGAGAGTAGATGAATATAAATGGCTAATTTAAGTCTTAAGGGGTAGTTGTAAACAAACCTAAGCTAAGACCATGCTTTTATAATTAATAAGAAGTCTCTGTGCCGTTATTTGTGAGCTGGCAATACAAAGAAAGTCTGATTACAATAGTTACTCAAACATGACTTCACTCTCAGAACCTGTGTGGACTCAGGGTGCATTGTCGCTGTGGGGACCCTATGCTCTTCCGCATCTGTCACCTACGCCTGTCTGGCTTCCTGTATCTAAAGCAGGCTCAGCCCATCAACACTGATCAATCATCCTTTTCAATTTTCTATCATCCTCAGCTATGGGAAGTTTGCCTTCTCACACCAAAGGCATTAGGAAAATGAGGGTACACAAAGCCATGGCAGAGCCTAGTGGGTATTCGTGAACACTGCAGAGAGCCCTCCGCACACGGCCAGGCTCCTTCTCTCTTCTCTCGCGAGCTTTCTGGCTGGGTACTGAGGAGATCAGTGGGTGGTATACTTCAGCCAGCTGGTCAGCACATCTGGAACCTGTCTGTCTGTATGGCATACAGTACTGCCCCAAATGCTTACAAGTAGGCTCTGTGCACCTGCCCAGGTCTTTAGGACCTGGAGAGAAGTGGGAATGCCTTGTTTTCATGAGCTCTTGTTGGATTCTCCAGGGAGGGGGATGGTGTGGAAAATCCTTCTGGATATGTGTTGCTTTTATTGATTAATGAATAAAGAAACTGCCTTGGCCTGTGATAGGGCAGAGTAAAGCTAGGTGGAGAAAATTAAACTGAATGCTGGGAGTATTTGATTGAAAGTGAGACCCCAGCCCTCTAACACCCCTATATCCAAGGAGTCTGGGATGAATGATTGGAAGCGTCACCCCAGCCCCTGGCCTGGGAGTTACTTTGGTCTGGATTCCAACTCCCAGCCTGTCAAGCGCTGACCCCTTCCCAGGGAGGGTCAGGACCACGTGGTCTCCAGGGTTGTGTGGGCTCCTCTCCCCGCCGTGCTGTCTTACTCCACCAGAGTGCTGCATTTACTAAACACGGGCATTTTAATTTGGCCTAATCTGGTTTAATTGGAGTTATTGCATTGGTGGAGCGGCTTTTCTTAAGATTAAACCAAACAGGGAGAAAGAAGGCCGAGTCATGACACACCATGGAGCCTCCAGAGGAGAAAGACACAAGCTGCCAGCTGGAACCTTGCCAGTAGGCCGTGAGCCTTGTGGTAAAATATAAAATAATAGAAAAGGGTTAACCAAAGACATAAGAGCTAGCTAGCAATATGCTTAAGTGATTGGCCAAGCATTGATTTAAATAATATAGTTTCTGAGTGGTTATTTTGAGTCTGGGCAGCCAGGAACAAACAAATGGCCTCCTACAACAGGGGACTTTTTCTTTAAGAACCAGCAGTGCTGTGAAGATCAAAATATGTGTGTGTGTGTGTGTGTGTGTGTGTGTGTGTGTGTGTGTGTGCATGTGCACACATACTTGGTTTTTTGATGTGGGATTTTCCTCTGTATGCTATAAATATGTTTTATTACCATTGGTTATTAAAGAAACTATTTTGGCCAATGGCGAAGTAGATAAAGCCAGGCGAGAAATCTGAACAGAGATATATATAGAGAGAAAGTAGGCAGAGTCAGAGAGATGCCATGTAGCTGCTGAAGCAGAAAGATGCCAGCCACCGGCCAGAACCTTACTGGTAGGCCACAGCCTCACGGTGATAAATAGATTAATAGAAATTGGTTAATTTAAGATGTAAGAGTTAGCTAGAAATATGCCTAGTCATTGGCTGAAGAGTATTGTAATTAATAGAGTTTCTGTGTGATTATTTGGGTCTGAGCAGTTGGAAAATGAACAAGCAGTCTCCACCTACATTTTTGTTGTTGTTTTAGTCTGCTTTTCTTTTTAAGAGAAAGAAAGAGAACATAAAATTGGGTAGGTAGGAAGGTAGGGAGGACCTGGGAGGGTTTGGGAAAGGGGAAAAACATGATCAGAAATATGATACAGGAAAAGAAATTTTCAATAAAAAAAGTGATTCTAAAAAAGAGAAAATTCCTTAAAAAACTTTAGCCAATGCTTGTTCCACAAGTACCCAGAAACTATCCTCTAAGGCCAGTGTTCTAAGCACTGAAACAGGTAAGCAGATGGTTCTCAAGGACTGTGGAAGTCCAGGGGAGCTGTGTCACCAGAGGCTGACACAGAGGCTTTGGGAAATTAGTAACCGAGGTTCAGAGGCACTAAAGGAAAACACACCATGGAAGTCACCTTTGAAAAGTTGGTAAGATGAACGACAGACCTTAGCTGTTCGTGTTAGTGTGTGGAGGCCTGAGTTTGATCTGCTGGTCTTCCAAGGGATCTTAGGTCTTACGCCTCTTGGGAAGGCAAGAGATCCTTGCATCCTCCTCTGTGGTTGAGGGAGGCAGAGCAAGACCTTGAGGGAGGAAGCTGTTTGTGAGACCCCAGGGACCCTGAGGTTCTGGGGTTCTTATATCCTGAAAAAGTTACCCCCTACTCACCTGTCCCACACCTCATCAGCTTAACTGTCAGTCTCAGGTGTTGCCAATGTGATCATATTACCGAAAGAGACCACAGCTACGGGTGCTCTTAACCCCAATACTCTGGTGAACCTCTTTCCCTCCATCACTGCTTCTTGGCTGAGCAGAGTGGCCAGTGGTGGAGAGGATGCTTGATCCTGACTGATAATTTCTGGCTTTCTCTCACGTCCTCTGCCCTACCTTGGGCTGTGACTCCTGCCCCCAGGCATTCCTATGGGATTCTAGCAATTTTGGTCAGCTGTCACTCAGGTGAGGCCTCACGCTCATCCTTGGGCATATTCTGAGTTGCTGAACCACTCACTGTGCTGGCAATGCAGGCACTCACCACCAGGCTGTTATGGAGGGTCCTCCTCCTCTGCTGCTCCAAGTGGTAGCGTGACTCCAGTTCCTGCAAGCACTGCTGTAGGTGTGTAGCCTCTGACTGAGAAGCTGCAGGGACAGGTTACCCCCAGGTTACAGTTTGGTTCTCAGGAGGAGACTCGGTGGTCTCCTAGCCAAGAAATGTAAATCATAAGGAGGTTGGTGTGGGGGGGAGGGCTGTGGGCCACAGTGGGTTCTCCAGCTGAGGTTCTGGGTGCTCAATGCTCATGGTAACTAGTGATTCTCAAGGAGTCCTGGTCTAATGACCACCCACTGGGGGCTGACAAGTTATAAAGGTTTCCATGAGGTCCCCCCTCTGTGTGGGACGAGGACACGTGGCAGAAGTTGGGCTGACTTCTGGCTCTTAGTACACATCTTGGGACCCAACGTTTTCTCTGTCCTGTCAGGATGACCCTGCTTTTACAGGAAGACCCACACTACTTCTTCACACAGACTCCCGGTGCCTGTCTCCGACACAGGAGAGATGGGAAGCCCTACCCTGAGCAATCTACACAGACGCTCTTCAGCTTGGCTCACAGCTGGCCTCTCATCTTCCTCGGCCTACAACATGAACTGCTGCTGCCCGCTTTCCTGTCAGTTATGGAGTAGGGCTGCTTGAGCAAGGGATGTTGGTGAAGGGGATATGCTGTCTTAGTTGACTAGGACCTTCTGAGACTCCCCCACCCCTGGCAACATGAGGAACAACAGCCCGGGATGCCCTCCTGGCTGCATTTCCCAGGCACAGCATGTACAGCGCTCCTGTGGGTAGTGATTGATAGCCTTAAAACCATCGCACATGCATATCAGCATTTCCTTTAGTTTGTCATGATTCGCTCCTGCTCCTCCTGGGAAGGATGATTGACTCTTCCCATGCAGCATGCAAGTGAAGACCATACACGTGTACTATATACACATTACACATACTACCCATGTACACAGACCAGACACTCTACCTGTATTCATCATGCACAGCACATGCACCATATATGAACATATGTACACATATCACATCATGCATACAACCATACCTATGAATACACTAGACCACACATATACATGTAACATATACACATACACCACACACGTGCACATGTATACAAACATACCGTTCACGCATATGTGTGCACACATACATATGCACACCTACAAGGCCTCAGGAGGCTTCTGAAATGAAATGCACTGTACTATGGAGACTGGAAACTACCGTGAGATCCCAGGGCAATCGCTATCTAAGCTAAGATGCTAGCCTGACCACAAAGCACGTTTTGCTGCATCTCTTGAAATAGCAGCATGATGATCAGCTTCCCTTAGGACCTGCCACAGGTGTGGACTGCATGGCACTGGGGAATAAACGTGCTCTTGTACACACAGTGCTGCTGGAGGGAGACAAGCGGGACTTCTGGATATGACAACTGAGCTGGCAGAAGAGAACGCTTCACTTCCTAGTCCGGAGGAAATCTGACACAGGAAGCTCATGGCCCTGAACATCACAGCTGAGAACATGCTATGTGGGTGTCGGGGGGGGGGGAGGAGGTGAGCTACAGGGCAGGTAGGCAGACCGTCAAACACGGGAGGGGGCGTCTCATCGAGGTGTGAGTGGCACAGTATTTGTTATTGCCATCACTTAGCATATGCTAGGAGTTAAAAGAGATGGGCTGGGGTCCCAGGCTGGTCACTGTTCACAGAGGTCTCTCACCTCGAAGAGCCTCGCTGCTCAGCTCTGCCCTCTGCACAACAGCCACTAAGTCAGACAGGCAGCTCTGGTACTCCTCCTGACAGCTTTGTAAGAGCACCAGGAAAGAATTCCGAAACTCCTTGACATCTTGTTGAAGCTTCTGTGTAATCAAAGCATAGTTAGCACAACTGATCATGCTATTATCAGCCACTACAGTCTAACTGTACAACCGATCATAAAAGCCCATGGGATGCAGAAGCGGCCTACAGCCAGCAATCCTGAAGTGACCTGCTATGAAGCAGGGGCATATAAGGCAGTGGTTCTTCGACAAATATGCAAGGTGAGTGTTCACCACAATTCCCTTCAGAAGTTCTTTTATGGTTTTTTGTTGTTTGTTTTTTGTTATTTTCATTTGCTTGTTTTGTTTTGAGACAAACAGAGGGTTTCTCTGTGTAACAGCCCAGGTTGTCCTAGAACTCTTTGTAGACCAGGCAAGTCTTGAACTACAAAGATCTGCCTGCCTCTGCCTCCCAAGTACTGGGATTAAAGGTGTACGCCACCACTGCCCAGCTCCCTCCACCAATTCTAACTCAATATAGCGCGTTGAGAGCAGCTCATGATTTCATATATTCCATATTAAGGTTCTTAGGAAATACAAACCCAAGTTATATGACCAGTGTCTGTAATACAGCTCATGGTGCCATCATGGACATCTGACCCATTTAACAGCCTCATCATTTTACTGGAGCACTGGGGCTATGTGAAACAAGAACAAAGCTCTGATGGGCTGTCCAGACCAACTTCTGGAGGTCTCATTACCATGAACTCAGGCCAGTAGGAAGCAATCGCCGTATCTGTGTGTGTGATAGAGTTCCAGGAACAGCCTGCATCCGAGCTTTCAGGGAACTTGGGGAACAATGCAGCTAATATCCTGTGCGTCACGTCACACATACCCCGTCCAACCCCAGCTGTGACCCCAGGGTCTTCAGCGTGACGGTTAGACGATGAACACATGGAAGGACGTCACTCTCAATGACACATGATAGCATGCTATGTGAGCTTAACCATATGCTTTTCCTCTTTAGTTAGGAATAATGGAGTTTGCTTCACGAACAGAAGGAAAAATGGCAAAGCTAAGCTGTATCAAGGCGCTTTATCACATAAAGCAGACAGCTGTGAGCTTATTCAAAGATAGGCTGGCTTTACTAAGGTGGGGGAGAATCTGTGAGTGCTATCTGAATCCCTTCTGAACAGACACAGCTTAAACCTTCACATCTAACCATGGCAGGTTAATCCAATTTGCAGATGGATTTTTTTGTTTTGTTTTGTTTTCCTGTTTCCCATCCTGGTCACATTGTTTTTAACATAAGGTAGAACAATGTTTTTAATCAATGGTATAAAAATATCTACCACAATCTCACATTGAGACTTGCCAAATATTCTAAGTGAGATAGCTGCTTTCCTGGCTTTTCCCTCAGAAGCCACTGACAGTCTAAGGGCAGCTCATATACAATGCTGGGGCATGGGATACTTACATTATTACAAACACTTTCTAGCACTAAACTTTAAAATAACCACTGTGGGGGTTCAGCAGTTAAAGAGCACTCACATAACTGTAACCACAATCTCAGGAGACTGGATGCCCTCTTTTCCCCAAGGGCAACGGCACACATATGATCATACACAGACCTGCAGGTAAAAGACCCACACATAAAAATAACAACTGTGACTTATGAGGCTAAGTCTCCACTGCTGCCATCTCAAGTCATTTGTCTACTGGCCAAAAGCTACCCATATCTCATCTTCGCTCAGATGCTAATCATTCTGTAGGCTTTCTTTACTGAGCAGGGGAGCTGAACCCGTCTGAGAGAGCTTTGTTGAGCCTCTTCTGACACACGTGCTCTCCTAAGCCCTACGCCACTCAGCATTCCCTGCACGCATGCACGCATGGTGATTTTGGCAGTGCTGAGGTCACTTCTGCCCTAGTCAGGCAGCGAGCGGGAGGAAGGCTGCATGGTGCTTCCCTGCTGACACTGCCTTGTTCTGAGCAGAGCATCGTGCCAGGCCTCACACCTGCTCCTGTTCATCCTTTCCTGGTACAGAGAGAAAAAAAAAAATACAATGTAAGGTTTTTAAACCTTGAAAACACAGCAGGTACCTTCCCTCAAGAAAAGGAAACTGATAGTCCATGCTACACACTACACAGGAAGAGAGAAGCCAATGGAGCTTAAACTAGAGTGGGGAGAGTCAGGAAAGGAATCCCAGGAGCGTGGACAGTTAGTTCAGGGTTACGGGTGGTGGGGCTAGGCCAGGAGGCACTGGCCAGGTAGAAGAGACAGACAAAGCCCAAGCCAAGGCTGTGAGTGACAGACCTCAGGAGAGAAGTGACAGGAAAAGGAGCGCCAACCTGCAGAGAGGCCAAGGGCTTGGGGATTCACTTGAGGGCAGTGCTAAAACCAGGAAAGGCTTTCAATAGGAAGGCTTTTCAACAGACACACATTTTTAAAAAGATCTTTCTGGGTTTCTGTGGAGCACTGCGGGAGGTAACAGAAAGTACTCCCTGTGGCATGCTAGAAGACGCATCTAAGACTTAAGGAGGACAGAGAAAATATCCAGGCTCCAGGACAAGACAGGGCTGGCCAGACTTCTACACTGGCTTCTGCAGGTGTCAGTGAAAGGGCCCCAAACAAAGAAGGTGATGACTGTGGGTTCTGCCTCATTCTGTTGCTTTCCTGTGTGTTTCCTTTGTCTTTATAAGCAGTGGGTGTAGCAGGCCCAGCCTCTCAGACACCAGCCACACGTTCAGTGAGCTGCACTAGTGCTCACCCCAGCCAAGAGCTTACAGTCTTGTGCAATAGCAGAGCAGTGCTCAGTTTTCAGGCAGATAAGCCCTCACTCTTTAGAGCAGAGAAGAAAGCAGGGCCCGAGCCTCTGATGTGCTCCTGTGATGGAGACAGTGTCTGAACTCCTATGGAAGGGCCCTGTCCAACACAAACTTCTAGTTTCTGCTCAGTCCCTGATTGACCCCAAGAGCAGATGAATTCCCTCAAATAGGATGGAAGCAAGCAGAAGGTGCTCCTGGGGATGTCCAGCAATCTGTTGTAGACAGAATGAAGGGCTGTGGCTGGGTCAGGTCTGTCTGCTGGATTGGTATGGAACTGTTCAGAAGTAAAAAGGCTATAAAGGAAAACTGAAAAGGGGGCCTTAGAAACAAGCTTCCACAGCTTGATTAGGGGCTACAGTGCCCGTCCAAGACTCATGCTGACAATGTCCACTGCGGTGATATAAAGGCGGGGTGAAATCATGAAGACTCTACCCTCATAAATGGACAAGGCTAGACGGCGATTTGCTCATCCACTCTACCACATGAGGACATCTAGGCAGTGCCAATTAGAGGAAATGAGCTGGACATAGACATCAAACCCGCAGTGCCTTAATTTTGGACTCCAAAACTGAAAGTAACAAATGTTCCTTGTAAATGATAGGGAGTCTCAGGTATTTTGTTACAGCAACATAAAGTCTGTAGCAGTTGTGTATCTGCAGACTTAGTAAACACTGAATTGTACAACTTAATGTGGAGGACTTCATGATGCATAAATTATACAACGCATCTACTAAGAAACAGCTGCTGGGTGTATCATTAATGGATATTCCTTAAAAACTTCTGAGCACCAAGATATATAATTTAGGATTCATTCTCATTCCAGCATAAGATGACATGCTAAGTGTCACCTGGAGAGTTCATTCTACCTCACTGAATGGGACAAAAGATCAAATGAAAATCGTATGTACAGGAGCTGACTCCAAACACTACTCATGCTGGGTATGTTGGTCTATCAGTGTACAAGACACATTTAAATGTTACCTCTGCCAATTTCAGGTGCAGAATAGCATTTTCTGTTTCCAGTTCAGCTATTCTTTCTTCTTTGACCTACAACCAAGGATCCAAACAGAAAACCCATCAACACAGCGCTTGCTTGGTCACACGGAAATACTGTGAATGCACAGAGAGCACAAGAAAGAGCAGGAACAGTCCCAGCAAAGAACTGCCGGGAAGGTCGGCCATCAGATTGCTCAGCAGCCCACCTCAGGAAGGCCTGGCCTGCTCTCCCACCCACACCCCTGGGTGTGGGCTCGCCCTACCAAGGGCAGTCCTGACACTATCAGCAGCAGTCCCGTGGACTTACTAGGTATGCAAACTCCACACTCTATCTTTTGGTCAGAAAGGTACCAGAGAGCAGTGCTGGGGAGTGGAGAGTTTACAGAGGAAGCCATAACATCAGAAGCCTTCACAAAACAAAAACAGCCAGGCAGTGGTGGCTCACACCTTTAATCCCAGCACTCAAGAGGCAGAGGCAGGCCGATCTCTGTGAGTTTAAGGCTGGCCTGGTCTACAGTGTGAGCTCCAGGGCAGTCAGGGCTATGCAGAAAAACCCTCAACCAAAAGAAAAAAATTATGTATATGTATTTATATTATATATAGAATTTAATTATATATAAAATATATGTATATTCATATTCATATTCATATACATATATATATATATAATAAAAAGCCCAACCCTCAACATTGAGTGTGTGGGGGGGGGTGGGTGGGTAGTGGTAGTCTTGGAAGGTCAAGGAGAAGGTGAACAGAGGTTGAACTCAGGAAGGAAGGTAGAGCATGGACCACTGTAAAGTGCATGTTTAACTCCCACATATGACTGGTCCAGGTGCGGTCGTCTTACTGGGGGCTGTGTCCAAATTGTGGATGTATCATTCCCGCAAACTCAGTCCACCCTGCTGAACACAGTCTCTGGAATTAAAGATCGGTACCCTGCTGGTGCTCCAGCCTTCACAGAGAATAAATTAAGTCCCTCTTCCTAGGGATCCCATCATTCCTGCAGGAGATTCGGTCCTTCCTTTTATAGGTCTAGTCATTTTTGCTAGATTCAGTCTCTTGCAGGGACTTCAGTTTCCAGATGGAGATGATGTCCCTCCTGTTAGAGAATTGCTCTCTAAATCGGCTCACAAAGAATCTATTATCATTAAAGGTAAAATATTTTATGTAATTGTGACTATATAAATCCAAAACCTAGGATTTACATTGCATTAACTGTTAAATTTCTTTAATATGAAAAATCTCTGGAATGTTGATGAAATTTACTTAATTTATAGATTTCAAACTGTAATCGCAGCTGCAATTATAAGTCTGGTATGTGTTTCATTAAATTTATTTCAAAATATTTTGATTTTTTTGGATGGTATTCACATGGAATGTTTTCCTAATTTTACTTGTGTTCATTGCTAGAAGATAGAAATGCCATTTGTTTCTGCAGATGGATGCTGTGTTTTGGTCTTGTGTAACTCACTTTTTAATGTAAAAGGATTTAGCACATTCCTTAGAACCATACCTATATGGCTCCATCTGCAAGAAGACTGCTTTATTCTTCCTCCTGATAAAATGCCTTTTCCTAATTTTTGTCCCTAAATGATCGAGCTATTCTACCAGGAAAATGCTGTGCAGCAGTGCCAGTCAGATGTGTTCACCATGAACCTGGGACACAGGCATTCCCAAGTCTGGGCCAATCAGAACGGGGCTAAGAGAAGTCTGTGAGGACAATCCTTTCAGGTTTGCTCTGACCCTAGGTCTCTCCAGTGTCTCTGCTAGACCACAGTGTAACCTGTGGCTTATTGTGGACTGTAACCCCCACCCCCACTCCCTAATTCATATGGTGAAGTATAGGTCTCAGTAGGTATCTTAGCAGAAGACATTGGAAGACAGTGCCTACAACGTAATTGATTCAAAGCCTTGAGGGTAGGTTCTTTTGTAATTTCATCAGTGTCTTTCTGAACGGACTCCAGGACACCATTGGGAAGCAGCCACCTGCAAACCAAGATTTCTGGCTGCACAAAGAAACTTCTGCAGTTGGAGAGGCAGTCCTCCATGAGTGAAATGCATTCTTGTGTGCGCGTGAGCCTGCAACCCACGTCTCCGTGAGAGCTCCCATCTACCCTTAGTCATGGATCACGCCACCAGCAAGGCTCGAGCCTCCTCTGAGCTTCTAGCCTTAGCTCACCGTGCATCCAGTACACCACAACTGCCGTGGGGTAAAAACTACCCCAGACCTCTTGGCCTGCGTGGGACTGCATGATGGGAGCCCACACACTCAGCTCACCCCAGTGTTGGATTGGTGAGAAGTACTTTTCCTCCTGGGTCATGAGTTGAGTGCTGAGGCACAGGGCGCCAGGATGAAGCTTCTGTATAGCTGAGCTGGGGCTTGAATGGAAGAAGAAAAATGTGCTACCCTTGAAAAATTTAGCCCTTTTTGCTGGAACAAATGCTTCCTCCTTCAATGTGCACTTTTCAGGAAATTCGCAAAGATCTGAAATGTTGCCTGTAGCCCTCCTTCACCAGTGTTCCTTGAACCTCATCTTTTACCCTGGAAGCCTTGTCCTTCAAGGTGCAGCTTATGCGGTCAGCTGTGTCTCTCTGGCCAGGAACCACTACCTGCTACAAAATGTCACTTTGTTTGCTTTTTTTTTTTTTTTTCTTCGAGACAGAGTTTCTCTGTGTAGCCCTGGCTGTCCTGGAATTCGCTCTATAGACCAGACTGGCCTCAAACTCAGAAATCTGCTTGTCTCTGCCTCCCAAGGGTTTGTACCACTACCACCCAGGAAACTGACATTTTAAAAAAGCAGATCAGACCATGTCTTCCCTCCGGTGAGATCACTTCTGTAGTGCCTCCAGGACTGGTAGAACAGAGCCTTGAGGTGTCTGTCACAAGCCTGTGTGGCCTAAGCTCCTGTTCCCTCAGCCTCTATGTTGCTTCTAGTGTACCACCAAGGCCTGGCTGGTCACATATCACTCTCCGCGGAGACCTCTCTCTTCTAAGTCCTCAGGTCCGATCCCTACAGACCACCCGTGTGGTGTTGATTATAGATCTTGTAAGGTTCGGGATCTCTGCTCAGCATGGTATTTGTTTGTTTACTTTACCCATCTATTTGTTCTGCTGTGTGCTCTAAGAGGGTAACAGTTAGGATTATATAATTTCTGCTGGGTAACTACTGTAGTCCCCAAACTTGCTCAGTTAGTTCATAGATGGTCAGCAGAGCTGAAGAAGGTGTCAGGTTAGGAGACACCGAGGTGGACTGAAGGGTCCGCTGAGCGGTCAGGGAGGCCTCACGTGGGATTGAAGGAAGGACCTTAAGGGCAGTCGGGAGAAACAGGTCAATCATCCTTAGATTCTGGATGCTGAAAACACAAGGCAGGTAAGAGTTGGTCTCCTTCTCCTTCCTGAGAGGGCTCAAGGTGAGAGTCACAACTCTGAATGATTCCCAAGCCAACCCCGGTTCTCCACGGTCCCCTACAGCCCTGGGACTGAGAGGCGTGGTTTCAAAGTTGGGGCTCCACTCAGACTCACCCACATTTGATGGTGAAGCTGTCGCAACCTCTGTTTTGAGAAGTCCAACGGCATAAATTTCCCTGGCATTTCCGGGACTCTTTGCAGTAGGCAGCGAGTGAAGGGCGTGGTTAAGTCATGGGATAGCTTTCCCTGATGGCTTCTGCGCATGCGCCGTGCCTACCCACAGAAGTTTCTCTTGGGTACTGCTTACCGGCTCATAGAACATTGGGCGTTGCTCCTCCCTTGAAAGTAGAGCGGGATCCCAACAATGCTTGTAGAATATAAATCACCTTACCACGGCCTGAAAACCTATTTCACCTACATCTCTTCCCAGTCCCCTCTGGTCCTGCCTCTCTCCCTGATGCATCCTGTACCATGTCAAGAGAGCAGACCATCCCTACAAGATCAACCCCACAGACCCGTTCATTTCTCATACGGTTAACAGCTAATTACACACAAGTGGTCTGCTTCTGCCTTCTCACCCCTGACCCCACCTGTGCTCGCAGCCTGCCTAGGAATGCAGGGTGAATAGGGTCAGCACTGCTGGTTTACTGCTTAACAAGTATAAGGGAATCTCAGGACTGGCACTGATGCTCCCACATCGGTGAGTAAACGAGTAAACGGGTTGACGTACTGTAGGAATAAAATCCCCTGTCACTAGGGGTGCAAAAATTCTGCCAAGTCAAGCAACTTACATTTTGTTTAATCTTATCATAAATGCATAAATATACCTGAAATCACCTTATTATCTGGGAGAGCAAAGAGAAAAAAATTCTACTTTAGGAGATGTTCTTATGAAATGTTAGAAACAACAGACAACACTGTAGGCCAAAACCACAACTTCCCTAAGAGGGAGGGGCACATAGGAGGAGAGGTGCTGAGTCAGCACTGATTCATTCAGTTTCTAAGGGTCTCTACAGAATCTAAAAGCACAGTAAATTAAAACGTAGTGTACACAAACATTATAATTCCAATATATAAATTCTGGTTTTGCCAAAAAGGTTCCCCACAAGTCCCTTCAATCCTCAAACATGCCTTCCTTCCTTAAAGTTTTTTTTTTTTTTTTGCATTTTCGCTGCTCATTGCTGGCTGTAATACTTTACCATATACCAGGACTCAAAGTTATTCCCCTTTCATCTGAGATTTATGTCCTTGGCCAGTAACTCCCCATTCCCTCACCCCATTTCATTGAGGCCCTGCGCTGTAATGGTAGCCGCAGCATTTGCTTTCGGTCTGCTATAATTAGCAAGTATTCCTTGTACCATGGCAGTAAAACATACCGTCATTCCAGTCATCTCGAGTGGGTTCTTATGCCTGCAACATGCATGACCAGGATAACTTTTATGCAACATGCTTAATCACTGAGAATGTTCAGGAGTCCAGTGACCAAGATGGGATAGTGAAACTTGAGACATGGTCCCAAGCACAAGCACTGTCATGAAGAATAGGCCACCCTTTTAGCTGGTTGTGTAATCAATCAAATAGCACTTCTGTACACAGAAAAACAACGGAGGGACGCAGGAGTGACACTCAGCACTGTTTAATGAAGTAGTGGCAGATGGAAACGGGAGAGAGGAAGGCTGGCATTACAAATATAAACTTTGTCAGCACTTGGAAAACAATAGCAAATACACTTAAATAGATACAAAGTTTATTAAAAATAGGCTGCAACTGAAATACAGTAGAAATGGAAAACAACAGCAGTTTGGGTGCTTCCCCACAGTAACACACGCTATGTAATGTGTTACAACACATATTCACATTAGATCTTACTGTCCAGGGATGGCCAAGTCTATTTCACTATGGGTTCCACAAACACACATGCAGAGTTTTCAGATGTTTGCAGGCTCTTGTGTGCATCTGTCTTCCCATGTACCAGCAACAGCAGGTATCTGCTCTTCTCTGGGAGGTATAGATATGCCACCCAAAGGCTGCCAGTGCTCCAGACACAAAGAGATTGCACTTCCTAGGCAGGGCAAGTGTGCACATCCTTCATTAACTCTCAGGACCATTCAATTCTCTTACAGAGGAAACAGCAAAGGCACACTTTCAAATAGGAAGCTTGATAGACAAAAAATATTTACATTTTTATTTCAACAATTTATCATACAGCTCTTATTAAAAGTGGTTTTTAGGATTGCAAATGCCTCTGCTCTATTTGAAAGTGTGCCTATTTTCCTAATGTACAGATATGTAAGAGAATAGTAAGGTCCAGAAAGATAATCTGGACCCACATTAGGGCTTTGTTAAATAGGAAGTATGCTTGAAATCATAAAGCTTGCAAAAATAAACTCATGTTTTTCTCCCACAACTCAGCTGGAGGAATGACAACACAAATTTACAAATTAAATTTAAACAACTCTACTAAGCTCTGAAAGAAATGTAGATTTGAGCTACCACACGTTATTCTTACAGTATTTAAGTTTAGATGGCACAGTAACCGCTTCCTTCCTTTTCTGACAGCATACCTACAAAAATCTTTCTTTACTAAATTTAAAACTTCTGATAGTTACGTTTGATTGCCACCTGTGAGCTCCCACTCTTCTTAGCTGTCTCCGCTCCTACCTATACAAACGCTGTTTAGCTGGAGAGCTCTAGATCCTTTGGAATATCTGAAACACTAGGTAACTTCCTAACATAACCACCATCTTTAATTTTCACCAATGATCAGTCTAATGATGATTTGGTATTTATAAAAATAAAATTCCCTAAGATTAAATCTTTAAAATTTGAGATTTTTCAAAACTGAATTATTAATTAGCTACTCAATCTCAACGTTTAGGATTGACCAGGGGGTTCACATTGGTCAAGAATGATGTGTTGTGCACCTTACAGATAAGAAACTCCATTTAGCCACCCAATGCACACTATAGCAGGTGCAGTGGAAAGACACCTGCCCTGGGGCTTGGGAGGAGGTGGCTCTACACTCAGAGTCCTGTCTCCTGAACACAGGTTCCACGAGAACACAGTAACGGTCTATGTAGTCAAGTGGAGTTTTGAGAAAGAACAGAAGATAATTTGTCGGCCTATGGTCCTTGGAATGATGATGGGAAAGAAGAGGGTAGAGGAAATACCCTGTGGTCTTTACTGCCCTTCATTCTGCCCTCTGAGTCCAAGATTCCCCAAAGAAGCTAACAAAAAAAGATAAGTTCATGTGAGTCAATCAGTAAGAACTAGGCAAGATTTTCTTAAAAAAGTACAACAAGATTTTAAATTGGAACATCTCTAACTTGAAACCATTTTAGAAACAGAAATTAGAAATCACTTAGAAATAGAACTGTTCCCTCCTCCTCAGGCTCAACCCCACAAAACCACTGCCAAGGGCAGATCTTGTGTGAGCACAAGGTGCTCTCTTTCTCTTCTCACTTGGTGTTCAGCTCATTCTCAAGTTCTGTTAATTTACGAGAAGCTTTTACTTTGTCAGACACATCTTGCCCTTGTGAAAAGAGGCGCTGACGCTCTTTAAATGTCAGGTTTTCAGGGGCTCCAGAACTGCCAGGTGAGTCTGCTTCTTGGCTGGACAGGAAGAAAACACAAAAGATTATGCATCAAAATACAAGTACCTAGTCTTTAAGTAAATTTTCCTAAGGATCATAAAGTTTCAGTGAGACGTGTTCATTGTTGTACACTGCTGTAATTACGTGTGTTGTGGTTGAGACAAACTACACCTACACTACAGTCCAAGAAGAACTTTAAAAGCCAATATATGCTCATATAGTTAAATTTAAATAAACAAAGAGGACAGAGACAGTGGCACAGGCCTATAATCAACCTAGGTCAACTGTTAAGACTTCGAGTAAGGAAACTAGGGATAGCTGAGTTAACCAGAGATCACATGAATACCAGGAATACATGGCAGCTAGCCTGTAATTATAGCCTCTTAGACGGGATTTCCAGAGCAAGCAGGTTAGCAAGACTAAACATACTGATGAGACAACTCTGTCTCATTGAGTAAAGTAAGAATGATTTAAGGATGATTCCTGTCAATCTGAAGCCTCCACATGTAAACATGTGGCATATACACACAGACATGCCTGTATGCCTGGTGTCACCCATCCACACCAAAAATGGGGGAAAAAACCCCGACTCATTGAGTTCAATTTCAGCAAGCTAGCATTTCTTGCCAGCTAAACAGGTTTAATTAATGGGGATCCAGTTTAAAAACACAGCATCTCCACAAACCTTCCATGTACTTGAGAGGCATTACAGACCCGCCCAGTCTAATACTAAGAGACAGACCAGCACTGTTAGAAGTGCAGAGAACATCTACGATGACCAAATGTTTAGCTCAATTCCAGAAGGAAGCAGACTGTGGCCACAAGCTGACTGACAGAGCCTGGCCTTCACGCCTCTAGCATTTCCATTGTGCAGCAGGCAGGTCCAGGATCTACCCCAAACAGAAGTATGCTAGCAACACCAACTTTAAAAAGGTCTGCACATACAAGTGTGGGGACTCACACTTACAATCAGAGCACTAGGGAATCTGAGGAACTGGGACTACCACAAGTTTGAGACCTACATAGAAAGACCCTACATTCTCACATGTTGTACAGTAAAAACACCAGGATATCTGATAAAATCTGACATGATTCAGCAAGGACAAGAATATGAGAATAAACCAGAACAGATTAGACCCAGCTCAGCCCAGCCCTTAAGTACCTTCTCATGTGCTTCTCTCTTGGGTCCCGGGAAGCATCATGGGCTCCCAAGATTGTTCCTGCAGATCCTGTGTAAGAAGAGTGCGGTCCTTTTCCGGGGGGGGGAAAAAAAAAAGGCCAAGTTAAAGTATTGAATTATCTCTAAAACTTTACTCATCATCGCGTGTCTGCAGGAAAATAAGCCTCCTTTAATTACTGAGAAAACAAGAAGTCAAAGGCTCTTCATATGCTCAAAGATTCATCATTTAGAACTCACTACTCTCAGTGGCCCGGTAATCCAATCACCACCATAGCCAATAAATGACATTAGGCCTTTTGTTCTTAGATGGAAAAACTGCAACACAGTCTTTAAAAAAACAAAGCAAAATAATAAAATACCTCAAGTCAGCACATGGCACAGTAACCACAAATACGGAAGACAAACCACGTAAAACTTAAGTGAGAAGTAAGCAGAGTATTTTAGACATACTCCCATGCACTGTAGGAGTTTTGTGCTTATTAGAATTTTGT